TGGAAGGGAAAGAGTGTCTCGCCTGGTAGAGTACAGACTCTTGGTCATGACCCCAGGTGGCTCTGAAGACAGTTTGAGGCACTAGCAATTGGGTCTAGAGGCCCAGGGCCCCAGAGATGCCCCTTTGGGGGTACAAGGGCCCTCATGAAGTTCACAGATGAATTCATACCAATGTCAGAAGCCCAGCTACATCCAGCCTGGCAGTGGTGGGCATCCCACCATAGAGAGGCTGAAGACCAGATTTCTTTGGCACTGCCTAGACTAGTCATGTGAAACTCCAAAAGCATTCCTTAAAGCCAGCTTGGAGTTGGGCCAGAGCCTACTATGGGTGCTACCACTGGAGTGGCCCTATGGGCAGAGCCTTGTAGCCTATGACGCTGAGCAACCAACCTTAAGCTGTGGGGGCAAGGGAGGTCTCTTAGGATCACAAATGGCACTTCATCTGGATGAGCAAACTTGCTATGTTCACTGCCAACCTGCAACAAATGTCCAGGCCTTCCTCCTTACCTTTCACCCATCACTCATATGGACCAGCATAAAATTTGCAAGAGCAACATTTGTTACATAGGAGGCTGAATTAGTGTAAGTTTTCCTACAGGTGCATGGCTTGGATGTATGGGGAAAAATGGGTTCAAGTGACTGTTAAGACAGTCTGTTCCTAACACCTGAGCTGACACTGACCCTCACCCAGCTATGCCCAGCATCTAGAGCAGAAAAATACCATGAGTTTTTCAAGAAAGCAACCACAAAGCCTAGCCCAGGAGCATTGGTGACATTTTCCAAATATTACCCCTGGGTAATATTTCCTTTCAGAGTACCCAGCATAGCCCCAAAGAGTCCCACATAACCACAAATGCAAGTCCCGCCAGCAGTTTAGGGAAGATGGACCCCCTAAACCAACCCGTTTTTGAGGTTTGAGCAGCTTCCACAGCAAAGAAGAGAGGAAACGATGAGCTTTATAAAGAACCATATTTATTTTCATTTACAGCATCAAATACCATAAATAAAGTTAAACATTGTTTGCTGTGTGCAAAATACAGGGTTCCATGTGGCACTGTAAATGACTACCAAATGTCACAAACATGCATTATGTTGAGATAGGGTAGGCTCGCTAAAAAGGAGGCTGAGAGGGGAGGAGGGCCCTCTTTGGTTGACATTTTATAAAGGGAGGGAGACTCTGCAAGAGAAGATAAGACAAGAGCAATGACTTCGTACTGGCTGGGATCTGCACCAGTGCAACGAGCAGTGCAGCATGCAGGGCTGTGCAGGCAGGCCACGAGGTCAGCAGGGCTCTGGGCCGCATGCAGGACAGGCACCAGCTGCAGCCTTAGACTGCAAGGCCGGGCCTCTAGCAGCTCCACCACACTTAGTGTGGTGTTTCTCTTTAAGAGCACTTTGAATGTTCTACTGCTCCAGGTAATAAGTGAGCAGCAAAATGTGTTTTGAGCAGGGGCACTGAAACTTGACTGACCCAAGCCTGGGGCTGAAGTGAGTCAGATCTCAAAGCCATCTCCAGCCTATGCTGATGACTACCGTAGCTGAAGCTTCTGCATCATATAGGGCTTTATGAGCCAAGAGAGATAAGAAGAGCCAGAGCAAAAGCCTTGGATCTGAAATACAGGCTGCAGTAGAGGGAGGATTTGTTAGGAAAATTGTGATTACGTGTTCAAAATACAGAACGTGTATATACCCATATGGAGCATGGGTCAAGCTTGTGATGAAGGCTGAGAGCTATTTTTTTTTTAAATCCCTCTAAAAAGAACCACCTATGGTTTTAACCAATAGCATCAATAATCTTTGTATTAGAACCAATTTAAGAAAACGCTTGTATTTTGTGTGCTCTTTCAGAGGCTGCTAGATAAGAGTTCTTTTCAAAGGTGACAAAACCCTCTGGATGGTGCTGCCTCAGTCAGGGTAACCCTCCCAGGAAGGCACATGGCTTTCTAAGTGCAACTGTAAAAGCATGCATGTAGGCCGCAAGGGGAACAGACAGGAGGTGGGGCATGCACCCGGTGTGGACAGGGCGGCCGGCTCAGAGGTAAGTGGAATCGGAAATGGCTTTCAAGCTGAACACTGACCAACACTGTTAACAGACCATACAACTGACTAAGTCCGTTAGTATGCAAGACACGCGCAGTTAGTACAACCAGTACCACGGTGGGGAGCACGGGGTGCAGAAAGCAGGTTAGGGGTCAGTACCACTCTGAAAATTGGCAAGAAAACCAGTCACCTCAGAGCAGGAGTGTGTCAGCCAAGAAGTGGGTGTAGCACTGGAAGGCTGAAATGAACTGATGGCCACAGTGTAAGGGTGGAAAGAGAGACAGAAAAGAGAGTTTAGTTGGGAAAAAAAGGAAAATGACTGACAAATCCAGAAGGCACAGGAGTTGAAAATAAGGCAACCATTAAAAAAGGGAAACTTCCCTTCCACAGATCACCGCTGGCTTAGGAGAGCTGAACCTTTCTGGTGGGGACCAGCTCCTCATGTGCGTGACCAGGGCAGTTTGCACGCACCACCACTCTACTGTTCTCCACCCAGGGCCACCCGCGCCCTCATGACTTCCTGCCCCTCGATATCCTGTCTGCCCTCACTTTACTCTAGTGTCTCGTATTCATTCTTGAATATGTTCTGAGGGTTCAGAGGCATCTGTGCCCTGGGATCCACCCATGTGTTTTGGTGCTGCCCACCAGAAAGGTTCAAAGTCTCAGAACATAACAAACATCTCAGGCTTCCGACAGGCACACCCTGTCTCACCAGAGTAATTCAAACCAGTCTCTTTATGGCCATTGTGACATTCTTAGAGGTGCTAACTCTGGCTTCATGGAGCATTCCACAAAGCATCTCAGCCCACCCTGAGCTGATGATAATGACAATGACAAGACTGTGTAAGTGTTCACATCATAACCTTGACAATTTGCTTTCTATGCTCAGACATAAAATGAAGCAAGGGCTCCTCCTACCATGCTGAACATTAAAATCCCAGCAAAAATGTGGAAAAACACAATGCAAGTCATCAGACAGAACAGTCCCAATAAGGTAAGAGGTGCCAGCTCCCACAGAATTGCCTACAGCGATGCCCTGGTTTTACCCAAAGACTTTAGGGAAGTGCTTATAAAAACACCTTCCCCCTTCCTCCTGCCCTGTAGAAATTTATCATCTCAAAGCCCTCAAGGGCTCTGGCTCATAACCCACACCAGGCTCCACTCTTACTTAATTCATAGGGGATCTTTAGAGGAACAGGTGCATAGAGCTGTCTCCAGAGTGGTGACTCCAGATACGTCGAGCACAGAAGAGTGCCCTCTTATTCTATCAGCCTCTCCATTGTTTAACCAGACCCAGCAGCCGTGGATGTCCAAGCAAGGTGGAGTGGAGAGAGCTGAGGCCTCCCCCGGTGCCCAGGGGAGGGATACAGGCAGGCCCAGTACCTGCTGTGGCCCTAAAAAGGTATATTTCTTTTATATCAGTCAATAAACAGCTTCCATTGCCATCCTCCCCTGCCAATCAAGACACAAAAGAGCTTTTCCCTGAAGGTCAGATACATTCCTTTGCTAGGACAGTGTGAAAATAAATGGTTTCTGACTGTTTTGACCAAATATGCATGGTAGCCGAGTGGCAAGGCAGCCAGGACATCTGCAAGCAATGCTCACTGGGCAGGCCACACTTCCCAGAAATAAATATCCTGAGGCGCTAACAAAGGCCCTCCATCCCAAAAGCCATGACGTGGGATGGCAGTTCCCCCTACTGCATAGGCTGACCATTATGGACTTTAAACGGTCTTGGTTCAGACTGCAGCCTGGGCAGGGCCCTGATGGGAAGCCCCCAGGTCATAGCTCCTCGTCAGTGCCAGCAGCTGATACAGCTCCTCTGCAGCACTGCACTAGCTTGGCACAGCTTTGCATGGTCTGGTGCCAATGGGCTTTCACTGCACTGCTCACTAGTGGGAAGGGAAAGTGTGTGTTTAAAGCAATCTACTTGAAACCTCAGGGTTCCATGTCATTTGGTTGGGATTTGGAATAGGGGAAAAAACCTATAAGCTACTCTTTTATATCAACACAAGGGAGCAAAACAGTCCTCTCCTCCCTCTGAGGAGGACAGAGAATAGTGAACTACACATTGACCTGTGCATTTGTGGGTTTAATTCTGCTGTTTAAACCTGCCCTTCTCCTCTTTCCTTCTGAAATGATTATGCTTCATGTTGCCATAAATTGCCCCCTGTTGACAAGTAGCATCTGGGTACATAATTCAAAGGCATTGGTCCAAAGATGGCACATTCACTTTTGTTGATAAGAAACCCAGATCATTAACATTGCAGACAGTGACTGTTATAACTGCCTGCAGTGTGGAAGGGCTCTGTAATACCACTTACAAACTTCAACTTGGGTTTAGAAAAATTGACATTCATAGAAAAAAATGCTTTCTCTAATGGCATATTAAAAGTTAAAAAAAGAAATGTAAACCTAGAAATATGGCTCGCTTTGGTATAAAAGAAGTACAAAGCTATAAAAAAACATCCTTCATGGTGTCTGGCCTCAGCACCGTGAGCAGATGCTCACCCTGAGGAGGCCAGCCGCAGGTGGCCAATGGGACTCTTTGGTTTTGAGCTAAATGGTTAAAGAACACTGGGCTCCCTGGCCAGTGCTTGGGCTAACTACAAACACACCACCTCTGAAGTGGAAATGTTAAGGCACTGTGGGGTGGCCGGCACCTCAGTGCAGCTTGACCGGGAAGCACCTGAGCACCCAGTTGCAGAGGCTCTCGAGGGACTCCTGGGACTCCCGGTACATGGAAGCCAGGACCTCGGACAACACCCAGAGGAGGGGCAGTCCGAGGCTCAGGAGCTCGTAAGTGTAGCAGTAGTTGTAAGCATTGTCCCTGATATGCTGGATGGTGGCACGTAGGAGTCCCTGAATCCAGTTAAGCAGGCTCCGGGGAATGTGAAGCAGGGCCCCGGGCAGCCTGAGAGGCCAGCTTAGCGCCTTCCTAAAGAAGGAATCGGTGATACCTGGGGGGCTGCCTTCGGGCGTGCTGATGGCTGCAGCTGCACAAGAACTTTCCGCAGGACTGTCTCGCCGAAGGGCTTCTTGCTCCTTCCACATACCCTCCACCTGAGAAAGACGTAAAGGGAAGGCATTTAGTCCATGACTCTCACTGAGGACCGTCGATCAGACAAAGAGAGACAACAGAAGGTGAACGTGGCAGGCCCTGCGCTTTGCCAGTAGTCCTCCCAAATAATCCCAGCCCCATGCGCTGCTGAAGGGGGCTGACTATGGGCATGACTTTTCTGGGGGCAGATTGGCCATAGGGTCCACTCGTTTTCAAAACACACATGCAACCCCATTTGACTCAGCAACCCCATTTATAAAATCTATCCCAAGGAAATGATTTGAAATATGGATAAAGATGTGCAGACAATGGTGTTTATTGTAAAAATATTTATAAGATTAAAAAAATTAAACTTCAATATCCTACAATATGGGATTCATTAAATTATCACCTGTCTTTCGCAGGCATCAAAAATTATGCTCCAAAAGAATTTTTAATATCATGGGAAACTGTTCTTGATGTACTGCTAGTGAAAAAAGGATATAAAACTGGCAATACGATTCTAGCTGAGTTAAAATACATTCACATACAAAGAAGTCTGGAAGGAAACGCTACAAAATGTTAATTATGGTTTTCTCAGGGTAGAGTGCTGATGGGTTATTTAACATTCCTTCTTTATACAGTTGACCCTTGACAACACAGGTTTGAACTGCACGGGTCCACTTACATGTGGATCCTTTTCAACAAATATACTGGAAAGTTTTTGGAGATTTACAACAATTTGAAAAAAAACATTTTCTTTTCTCTAGCTTACTTTATTCTAAGAATATAGAATATAAGACATACAACATACAAAATGTGCTAATCGACTGTTTATGTTTTTAGTAAGGCTTCTGGTCAACAGTGGTACTAGAAGCTATTAGTAGTGGTGGTAACAGTAGTTAACAGTAGCTATTAGTGGTGTAAGATTTTGGGAGTCAAAAGTTATATGCAGATTTTTAAATGTGCAGGGGTCAGCGTTCCTAACCCCTGGGTTGTTCAGGGTCAACTGTACTCTCATTTACTTACCTGTTTTTCTACATTAAACCTATAATACTTGTGCAACCAGAAAAAAGTCGGTAAGTTGTGGGTGTTTGCTGGTGATGGGTGCTCAATCAAGCCATAGAAAAGGTATTTGCTAAGAGCGGCCAGAGGGGGCGCTATCACAAGCTGGCCACACATTCAGCAGGTCGGTCACTTTGCTGACATCTAAGAGCCTGGGGAAAGGGCTTATGGAAAGGTCAGCCTCCTACCAGGCATTCCTGCAAACAGTGTTCTGTGGGCACATGGAACCCAGGCATGGGGGAGCAATGTAGCTTTTGCATATCTGAGCTGCAGTCCCCTCCCTGGCACATGGAAAGCTCTTCTGGGCTTTTCACTAGAAGTCAGCACAGCCACTCTCCCAGGAGCTGTCTCTAATGGGACAAACCCAGAGGCTGGCTCAACAGGCTGAGGCAAACGCCACAGAGTACTGGCTCTCTTCTTCATCTGTGAGTCTCAATCCCTCCAGGGCCATAACCTGGAGGGGCCCTTGAAAACCTCCTACCCAGGAGCCTTTGCTGTGGCACCCACCAGCACTGTAAAGATAAAACATACCTCTCTTTGCTGCTTCAACTCTGCCCGTCTCTTCCGTTGCTGAGTATTGGTTTTACAGTGAATGAAATGAGACTTGCAGAAAAACTTGCCTAAAAAGAAACACATGCACACACAGGTTTTTCTCCTGTAAGCCAGAGCCAGAGCAGACATAAGCCAAGTGCCTGCCACTCTCTAAGTCAGAAAATGCCAACAAGGGGAATAAGCCCAAGATGGCTCAAACTTGGGAAGTGCTTTCTGTCACCTGCCTAAGGAAATGGCAGCAGGATGCCCTGCTGGCCCAGAGGCAGATTGCAGCAGCGGGCGTGCTCCCAGGGATAGGGATGAAACCCTCAGATAATCCCCAAATCACACCAAAGCCAAGTCTCTTCCTAAGGACAGTTGCCAGGCAGTAAAATGGACAGCTTTGAGGATCAGTACCATTTCTAATTGCTCTTCCTTTCTGGGACCCCTGGGGGTGGGAAAGGCTCAAAGCAGATGGCAGCAGTGAAGGGGAGGAAAGGACCCAGGTGAAGGCCACTGGCCAGGACCATTGGATGCTTTCCAGAAAAGCCTTCTTTGCTCACTGCTACCACAGTATAACAATAGTGACAATAATAATGATCAGAATAGGTAAAACTTCTGTAGGATACCAGACACTTTTCTAAATAGTTTCATGAATTAATTCATGTCAACAAGCTCACAACAACCTTATGAGCTAAGAACTATTACTATTCTCATTTTGCAGACAAGGAAATAGGGACCCAGAAGTGAGGTGATGGGACTGAGGTTACTTGGCTGGTAGGGGTGCAGCCAGGATTTGAGGGTTTGGCAGTATGAACAGCGTGCTACCCTGCCTCACATTATATGACAGTGTAAGACCAAGTGCTGAAAATAAAAAATAATCGCTCATTCCAATGATGTGATTCCTTCATTAATGGCCTCTGGTGGGCCACTTATCAGAGGGGATGCTGCTATTATGGTTATTCTTATAAAACACACTTCATAAATCATAACATTAGTATGCCATCACTTATTGAACCCTTATTACATGCCAGATGTGGTATCCAGCATGTTACTAGGTTATCAGGTTTAATTTTTTCGCCACCACGTGGGGGATTGGGAGGTGATGAGACTGAATGAGTAGAAAGCTCTCAGCACACTGTTGCTGCCCACCCATGCTGGGGCACCCCAGGTACCCCAGCCTCCTCTTCTCTCAGTGACCCCTGCTCACCACAGGCAGCCTAACAGGCTCTCCTGCTCCCTGAACAGCTTTCTGAAGACACCATATGCCCCAGGAAGTGTTGAGCAGCCCAGAGCCTCTAGCGGGACAGGATCCCCAGCCAGGGCCCAGTGCTGTCCCTGGCCCCTTGGGGTTACCTTCATCAACGTCGAAGGCATAGGCAGCCAGGCGCAGGGTGCTGGCGCAGACGCTGCAGCGGAAGCACTCTCTGTGGAAGAAGTGACCCTCTGCACTCAGACGCTCCATCACATACACGCGCTTCTTACAGAAGGAACAGGTGTCGCTGCCACCCAGGTTCAGGGGAAAGGCCTTTCGCAGAGATTCCTGGGGACACAGGGCATTTGGGAAAGCACAGCAGTGTGTTAGGGCTGCCACTGACTACCACTAACACCTCAGATGGAGACTGGGAGTTTAGATTCCGGCCTCAATCATGGAGACCTCGCAGGCTTCTCTCTGCTGCTTGTGTCACTGCATGCACTACAGCTAGGAGTGCGGGTGGGAGACTTGCTCCCTGCAGACACCCTCACCCTGCAGGGGCTGCTGTTCACACCACTCCAGAAGGCCAGCCAGCAACAAGGGGACTGGGGCCAGGGTCCTTCCATGCTGGCTGCTCTGGTTTTGCAGTGGGAATGAGGGCTTCTGGTCTGACAGAGTGGGCATCCTTCACAAACAGGCCTGCCCAGTGACTGTCCCAGGATTTGGCCCCAGGGGCTAAGTGTTGCCTGGATCTACGGTGAGGCCACTGAAAGAATGTTTTATACATCCTTGTCCCCCTGCAGTGATTTGGGTCAGGCAAGGAAAGCGTGTGGCATCAGAGCTGTTCAAGAGAACTGCAGAAAAGGGAGGGGCTACATCCTACTGCCAATCAAATCCTAAACACAGGGTGAAGGGTAAGGGCCAGGGCAGGGGAGAGCGGGTGATTCCAGGGAAAGGTGCAAAAGGAAAACAAAAGAATTGTCAATTCAAATCAGTGATGGCTGTGAGTGGCCTCCTTGGAGAAAGGGAGAATGCAAAGCAAAGGGGTGCTTTCTCCCCTACTGAATTTTCAATCCAGTGAAAAGGGCTACTCAGATTGGGCACTAAACATTGACAATAAGCAACATCTGACTGTATGGATGGCCTCTCATGGCCTTTTCACTGAGTCTGCCAGAGCCCCACACAGTAGGGAAGATGCTCTGCCTTGTGAAATGACTCACAAGGGAGCCAAGTGAGGTTTGTCTGTAAGGAAATGCAGCTTTCCTCTGCCTTCTGCACTGTTCCACTAGAAGGGGAGCCTTGGGTGGGCCTGGACCTCCTCTCCCATGTGACCTCCCTAGGAGCCGGAGCCAAGGTCTGAGGGTGAAGGCTGAGGGGGGTACATCCTTACCAGGTCTGGAGAGGTGGCCTGGGCCTTAGGCCTGTGATCATTCATGTACAGATTGACCAGGACTTCAGCTGCAGCCCCTATACCACTGGATACCTTCCCTACCGTCAGCTACCCAAGAGCAGAGACAGAGGAGATGGAGACAAAGGTAGAAGCCAGTTAGCACCAAGAAGGAAAACACAAGCAGGCTGGATGTGGGAGAGGCCCCCACACCCACATGCAAAGAACATCCAGTGTCCCAGGAGAGGCAAAACCAGCCTGGAGCAGGCAGGGGGCACTCTGGAGATGGAGAAAGGGAAAGAAATGGAGCCCTGTGGGCTGGGTAAGCCAGGTGACTTGTAAAACTACATCCTTCGGGGATGTATCAAGTTTCTCAGTTCAGAGACGGAGTAAATTTAGGGATGCATTCAGGAGTTCATCGAGCTTCTCAGTTCACAGATAGGGTAAATGAATCCTGGAGAGAGGATTCATTTAGAAAATAAATATGATTCAGGACTCTACTTAGGTCTCCTGACCCCCAGCCCAGGCACCTTCACACTAAGGAACCAATCTTGACAGACAGACAGCTGAACTGCAGCTGCCCTGCCGAAAGACCCTTTTTCTTTAGAGGGCTGCATGCTTCTCAGTGGGCAGTGGGCTGCACAGACCTGGAGGAAGGGCTAGGAGCCTGCTCCACAGAGAACCAGTTCTAAGACTGGGCACAAAGCTCTCGACTTCAGAGCTCAGGCTCCTCGTTTAGCAAAATGGGGATAACAGGGCCTGCCGCATGGATTTACGGTAAGAAGTGAGTAAGTGCATGTCAGTGTCCTGCACTTGGCAGGACCCGGCTTAGATGAACTGACTCCTCCCTCCCTGCCTCCTCTGAAAATCAGCAGGCCCCACCTTGCCTTGCAGCAGCCACGTCCCCAGGGAGCAATGGCTACGTATGAACTGAGACCCTCTAGGCCGGGACCATAGACCACTTTGCCAGCAAAAGCAGTGACTTGAATGGAGTGAACCAGTCCACACTGGGCAGGAGGAGGGCACAGAATGGGGAGCTCCCCTGCAGGCACCAGGGAGCAGTGCCCAGAAGCCCCCAAGCTGGGCAGGTCAGCTCCATGTTGGCCCTGGTGGGTTGTGGGTACCTGTGCTCCTGAGGACAGGATGGCCCATGCCCACCTATGAGAGAGCCTGGGGCCCCACTGTGCCACGGAGCTGGAGAATGTTGGGAGCTGACAGCCAAGCACACAAGGTGCAATCACACATATACATCCAGTAAACCCAACTTGCTCCCCCTTTTCCCAGCAGCACCAAAAGGCCACTAGGAAATATTACAGTCTCCTCTTCAAGGAGGCAAATATGCACAGTATGAGATCCTGTGAACACTTTTCCTGGTCCCAAGACCCGGAGGGAGTTGGGAGGGGAGCTCCTCCCCAGCCACTGAATCCAGCTTCTGGCAGATGTGGCCAGAGAGCAGCAATTTTGGTTGAAGGCACACTTTGACACCCATCACAACAACAAACAGCAGTGATTTGTGTGTGTGGGAAGAGAAATGCTCTCAAACTAAACCCAACACTGCTTCTGGGAGGCCGCATCTAATCTGCTGCGAAAGCCTCAAATACAAAGCAGGATGTCCAGGGAACAGTGAAGCAAATAGCAGCAGGCTCCCACCGCTCCCCAACCCTGGGCAGCAGTGCCCATCCTCAGAACCCAAGGCCAACTCACTGGGCTCCAGCAAAAACATAGGCACTGCAGGGGAGGAAGAGGGAAAAAGGGGTGCCAACCAGGTGGGGGAGGATGACAAGACCCAGAAGATGCTCCCTTTCTCGGGAAGGGAGCTCCAACACTAACAGCGACTTTGGGACAGTCACTGCAGACCATGTGCGGCACTCTTGGTGACTGCAGAGCATGTGGCTGCAGGCCTGCTGGGAACCTGACCCCGTGACTCACACAGATTGGACCTCCCCAGACTTTACAAAGCCTGCCTGTTCCCAGCAGAAGCAGCAGCAGCAGCTGCCAGGCCACTCAGCCCCCAACCCTATTTCATCCTAGCCTCCCAAGCTGGCCCAGTGAGGACTGTGAGAATGATTAGGATTCTACTTCCAAGCACATCCTCTGCTGTTTTCAGGATTTCACAATGCCAAGAAACTTGGTTCCTGCTTCCAAGAAAGGTTCAGGCACACTGATTCAGGACAATCAGTCCTTATTGGCCTGATCCTCCATCCCCTCATCGGACTACCTTTTTCCCTTAGATAGGGGTTGTAGAATACCAAGTACTTCCTGGGTTAACATCAAAATAAAGAGGGAGGGAAGGCACAGGAGGTCAGAATTACCGCCTGGCCCATGCTGCCCTCGCATGGCTGTCTCCACTGGTCCAGTGTATGAACTGGTTCTGTGGTGCTCTCCCAGAAAGGCACCATGGTGATGCCATGATACCCCCATGCAATTATTACCTCTCTTGAGTTATCAGAGAGCAAGATAGTGCTTTCTGGGCTTTAAATGCAAGTCCCTAATGAGATCTTATTAACCACTTAGCTAATAAGTACTGGGTGCTGCTGAGCTTCTGTGCAATCCTGACTTAGGTGCAATTACAGAAGCAAGCAGAGGGCTATACAATTGCCGGAGCATATTACTAAAACACACCTGTGAGGGTGAGAGCTTGCTCAGTTGCTTTACCAGCACAGGGTGCTGAGCAGGTCACCTGGCCAGGGGATCCAGGATGCACAGCACACCTGGTCTTTCATTATAGACCAAAAAGACTCCTTTCTCCCAGTTGCCACAACATTCCCACCCTGGGACAGCAGCTTTCTTAAGTGTAATGAAGCAAGAGCAGGGCAATACTAAGGAGAGCAGTACTGGGTCTCCCACATGCCCTTTCCAACGTGATGGAAACCATCCCAGAATCACCACTGGCCAGTACCAAGAGGTGGACTGGGATTTCTGGAGAGAAGGTTACAGGGAGACAAGGAGATGAAGAACTTGTCTGAAGGGATGAGAGGTGGTCTCTGAAACCCACTCCAAAGATCCTCATGGAGGCAAACGTTGCCCTGGAGATCATGGGTGATCTGCTCCCTAGCAACAGGACGCTTACTGGATCCAGGGCAGTGAGGATACGACAAGCCAGATTTGTGCCAGCTCAGTGCTCCTTGAACTATTGGTGGTGAATGACCACCAGGATTTGCTTTTTCTTATTTCGATTGCTAATCCACTGTGGTCTGATACTCACAGATACAATAAAAATGAATTATTAGGACTATGACCACACACTGGATATGTGACAATGTCAAATTATTCTACAACTGCCTAATGTTTACCCTCAGCTGCTGTGCTCATTGGGTCACAGTCCAGTACCTGCCTGTGGACCAGACTTTAAATGGCACGGCACTAGCTGATGGGGGGGAACTACCAGGCTCTTGTAAGAAAGAAAGAGATCTTCAACTCATGGAGAAAATTCCAGAAAACTCATCCTGGTACTGACCTCTGAGTAAGATCCAGAGGCTCTCAGAAAGGAGCTTCATGCCCTGAAAGGCAAGTCATATATGCTCCTTGGGAGGGCTGGTCAAGAGAAGAGCTTACAATCCGGCTGAGAATAGTTGGTCCAAATGCAAAGATTTGGCCAAAAATGATCACGTCCCAGTCACTAGTTTTTTTAGACTTGGTCATTTTAGAGAGTCACAGGATCACTTTTGCAGCCCTTATGTATCTTTCAATATTTTAATTTTGAAGAACTGTGGCATTTCTCACTACCTTTTTTCCCTTTTGAATTCTAATTATTTTTCAGCTAATTAATTAGAACGAGCTAGAATGGTTAGACATTTCAGGCAGGCCCTCATCTCTTATTATATTAGATTAACCTCACATACACCATTGCCCTTCTGTGAGCCTCATAAACTTCCTAATCTGTGAAATGGGGAGACCACCACCATCCTCACAGCATTGCAAAAGAGAGTCACCAAAGAATCTAGGCCACACCTCGCAGGGTGCTGGGCTCCCAGGAGCCACCTGGCAGATAGTTAAAGAGCCCAAAGCACTGCCGTTGTTGGTACAGTTACACATTTCCTGTCCTGGAAATTCTTTTCTCTTTTCTTAGATGGTCTTCAAACTGGTCGGAACTCTTGGTTGTTGGGTTTCCTCCTCAGCTCAAGTAAGAACAATATGGCCCACCCAGGATGGGCACTGGCTTCTCTCCACCGAGTCAACCCAGATTCAAACATGCTGACATAACTGTTGTCACAAGCACCATCACCAGAGGCTGCAGAAGATGGGGCTGGACCTCCAAAGAGGCAGTCCTGTCCATCTCAGTTCAGAATATGGCAATCTCTGTGTGGATGTTAGTGCCTTTCTCACCCTGATCTGAGCTGGCCTATCCCGCCTCAGGTTTGCACTCCCTCATGTCCCAACCCTGTCTTACTCATCTCTGCCTTCCTGGCATAGGGTGGATGCTCTCAATGACGGAGGAAGCAGGCTCCCATGCTCATTTGTGTCCAAACAATGGTAACCGCCCCCCTTGGTCCTGGAACGCAGCCAAGAACACCAGGTGTCCAGAGCGTGCTTCTCCACAGAGCTGGGCCACCTGTGGCCGCCTGGCCTACCATGAGCATCAGGAAGCCCGCTGGGGTCAGGCAGGGATGAGAGTAGAGTTTCCCAGCCTTGGAGCTGAGGGCTAATGGGAAGGGGAGGTTTCAACAGGCAGAGCGAGAGGAGGCCTCCTGGGCCACCTGGGCAAAGCCATTCCTTGCTGAGAAGTCCTCAGAGGATGAGAAATGTTCGAGGATAGGCCACCGGCTGAGTCCTCAGCTAAAAGCTCAGGGCAAGGGAAAGGGAGGGCAAAGATCAAACTGCCTTGTTTGAGGGGGTCCAGAAATTACACCCTCAGAGCTGAGACATGGGCCGGCCTTTGGGGCTATGACCTCCCTGTGGGCACCCCTGCTTGTACCCACCTGTGCTGCTGGTCATGGGTGTTCAACCCTTGCGACCTTGCGATATAAACCCCTCACAGACGGGGCAGCTGGGTTCAGGGAGGCTGTAACTCACCTAAGGCCTCACTATTTCTAAGCAACTGGGATGGCCAATGGAAACCTGAAGGTGACTTTGCCTATAGAAAGAGGGGAATCAACATGTATCTTAGGTAGATGAGCTTTCTTCTAGAATTCTCTTCACTGGGGAAGGGGCACATTTACTGGATACTTCAGGCATTTTCACATGACACAGGCCATTGCATTATTCCAGTCACTGCTGGAGTAGCTGCTGTGGCTGCTGTCATCTCTATGTATATTCTATAGCTTAGGAAACTAAGGTCGAGAGGTCTACTAACTTGCCCAAGGTCACACAGTAATTTGTCCTCTGAACCCAAGTGTGATTCCAAATCTATATTATCCTCCATATAGCACTCTGCCTCCCTGAGATACACCAGCACTCTGAAAATTAAAATTCTCCAGGCTAGGATGCATGCAGGATACCTCCAAAGGGCTGTCTATGTCTGGCACAGAGAGGACAATGAGGTTGGAAGTGGTCTTGAGATCTACCCTTGTATAAGATGAAACAAAGGCAGACTGCCCAGCTAAGACTCACCCAGCTTCCCTCTAATATGCAAATCTCTAGAGTAAACTCTGCAAATCCAGTTTTAAAACAAACACCCCCAAGGATAGGGAAAGCTCATTTTGCAATGTACATTTGTACTCTTCTGACCCAGGACTAAACCACAGTCTCTCCACCCCTGCCCAGTGAGGCTGTCTCTCTTGCTCAGCTGTACAAACACTCAGCCATCTTGTTCTTGCAAGAGCTCACCAGCGTTGGCAAATGGCTAGGAGTCATGCCAGAGGCCAAATCAGCAGTGGCCTCCCTGCTTGAAAAAAGAGGCTGACTGATGGTGGCTAAGGGGCTGACACCACCATAGGAGGGCTGGTTTGATGGCATGAATGAGTCACTGGTGCTAGGGAGAGAGAAGACTGGATGTGATCCCATAGTCCCAGGCCTTGGAAGACAAGACTCTGGGAAGAATCTGGGCCCCAAATGAGAGGGTCTTAAGATTCCCTGTACCTGTAGGGAACCCCAGAAGCATCACTGTGATAAACTGTCAATTTGAAAGGGCAGGCAAGTGTGGTCTGAAGGCAGAGCCCTGGCTACATCTCTCATAACTGGTGGCCCAAGCTTGCCTCTCTGTAATGTGTTCCTCATGACAAGTTTGGCTAGTTCTGTTCTTATGAGGAGGTGATTATGCCTGGATCCTCAGAACTGGGATGTAGGGCTCTACACGGGAAGACAGATATGCTGCCTGCCAGAAGGTGCCCAAGGACAATGCATCAATTCCAAACGCATTTTCCTTCTTCTGGCTCTCCAGACTGAGGCAAACTTGGGTCACAGGGCCACCAGGGCAGCCCATAATCTGCTGGGAAGAAGCTCCAGGGCCCCAGCCTCCCTACAAGGTACAGGCTCCCTGAGCTCCACCAGACTGTCATCTATTTTAAGGGGCAGCCAGTTCTCTTCTCAGGAGGCTGTCACTCTGCCCGATTCTGAAGTGCAAAGCCCAGAGTTGAACCAATGGTGGCGTGGGGTACGGGAGAGGGAGGAAAGTTGGAGGGGGCCTGTGTGGCTGGCAATATTCTTTCCAAGAATGCTTGACACTGGAAATTTACCACTCCATCCCTACTGCCTACGTGACTTCAAAGTGAGATCTGTGAGTGTCTAGTCCACCCAGAGACCTTTTCACAAATGGAGAAACTAAGGTACAGAGAGGGTGAGTGACCTGCTCGGAGCCCCAGGGTGGACTTTCCCAAGGGCTCCCCAGTCATTCCCAGGCAGACTGTGAAAGGCACATCAGCCTGTAATTAATAAGCCAGATGCTATGAAAATAGCCTGATCACACCATCATCTGATGGCCAAGGCTGGCTTAAGAGATGGGATAAGAGAAAATGGGGTGATTGTTCTGCCACACCCTAGGAAAAACAAAGAACAGAGCTGCACAGGTAGGGGCCAGTAGACCTAGGATTGGCCATCCCAAAGCCAACCCCCTTTGCAGTCCTCCTGATGCCTGGGTGTGGTGGGGTTCTACATGGACCCAGCCTCTGGGCTGGTAACAGGAGCCCTGAGCACGAGTCTCCTCCCTGCACCTTTGTTTTTCTATCTGTGGCTCTGCTCCTCCTTAATTCTCTGTCCCAGGAAGAATCTCCCTGCCACCCCATGTAAAATTGCTACCTTTCCCTAGCATGCCAGGTCCCTGTCCCCCACTCTAAGTATTCCATAGGAAGTATCATCTTATCTTCTGATGTAGTATATAATTTACTTATATATTATATTATTGTTGATTGTTTATTTCCCCCTACTAGGATACAAGCCTCATCAGGGCAGCAATGTAACTCCTAATCATCGATGCATATCCCAGGAGCCTGAAGTGCCTGACACAGAGCTGTCATTCAATAAATATTTGTTGAATGAATAAATATTCAGTCATTGGCTACATGAGTGATGTTGGTGTAAAGCTGCTTGAAGAGCCCAGTGGAGAAGCAGCCAGGGGCCTCAACGGAGTACATGATGACGTGACAGGAGATATGCCCACTGACAAGAAGTGTCTGTCAGACCCTGGTGGCCCAGCATGAACCTGGGCAGGCTACCCCTTGCCATCACTAGAGAACTAATACCTCCTGGAAACAAAGTTAGGGAACTTGGGAAGTGTGGTGGCTTTTCTTGCCTGAACTCTGCCCTCAACTCCGAGATAGCCATGACCAAGCTGGGCCTTCCTGAGGATGAAAGAGAAGCAGAGAAAGAGAGGGCCTTGACCGGCGCTAGCCAAGGATGGGCCAGAAGGCAGAGATGCAAGTGTGGGCCTGTCGCCCAGCCAAGAGCAGCAGCCCCTGCCTGTCTGTGCCCAGGGGTCCTTGGCTCTCATCATCCTGTCAAGGGTAATGCCAGTGACCTTTCTCACGATAGCAAGTAACCCCTACCCTGCCTCCCAAATTAACATGCACCAGAATTCTGTCTTTCCATTCAAGTCAGTCCTGTCTGCCTTCCTTTGCACGTGCTAGACCCTTTCTCAAACACTCTTCCCCTACCTCCTCCCACAGAGCCTTCTACTTGGCTCCCATATCACCTCCTCTGTGAATCTTTCCCAGGCTTCTTGCCTCCAGGTTACCATAACCTTGCCCTTTTAACCTCTCACAGAATTAATGGAGAGTATTACATTAGGTGAAACTGTCATTTTGTTAGGTCAAGAAACAGCCAAGTATTGGCAATTTTATATGATCAAATGTTACTTATTTCTATGCTAATAAACTGTTTGCCATCTGAACTGTGGTGAGAGGACTGCATGGCCTCCTGTTTGTTTTCTCAGCATCTGGCACAGAGGCTGGCATACGGTGGGTCCCCAGGTAAAGCCTGCCAGATAAACAAGCTCTGTCCGACAGTTTGTGGGTGTTGCTTGCTCCAACACAGAAACAAAACTGAGTCCAAGACTGTTATAAAGTATCTTACAAATTTCCATCCCAGCCAAGTCAAGCTCCAGATGTTTGTGCAGGTCAAGCAGAGCATGAGAACATCTCAGAATATGCAGGGAGTAGGGGAAGTGGATTATTTAGGACAGCTACCTTTCTGGCAGGAGAAATAGAGTCAACAGTCGATGGAGAGGAAGCAGCAGCTGGATCAGGAGATGGAAGGCAGGAAGGAGAAGACGGAGGATGGGTATGAGACAGGCCTTTAGAGGGCAGCTTATTCTGCACAGAACAGAAACAGAGGAACTGTGATTATCCCTGGGGAAACACACAGAGATGCTCACCTTGGCAATGCAGCCCCATGCCTATGCATTCGAGGAAGGGACAGTAATCCAGCAGCCAGGCCTGCGTCTCAGGACAAAAAGAAGCCTCTGTCTTTGGAGTCCAGCAGGGCTGTCTGGCTCCTGGTTAACTGTATCCCTCTACAACTATTGTGGCTCCCTCATCACACCAAAATAGCTGGAGCGCACCCATCCTATTGCTTCCTATGTCTGCCTCAGACACCAGCGCTCACTCTGGAAGCCCTCACTCTGGAGATTGGTATGAAGTAGCTGCTGCCAGCTTGGGAAAGGAGAACCCTGGGCTACTCTGGGCAGGAGACCACATGAGGGGCCTCTGTAATCGCATGGAATCCCTAAAATGAACAAACTGCAAAGTACCTGTCCCATGCTAATGACTCCACCAAGTAGCCAGGGATGGAGGTCTGGAGGAGACGGAGTGAAAGCAGCAGAGGACACGTTCCAGAGGCCAGGCTTGCTGCAAGCAAGGGAATACCGCAGAAACACAGGCACTGCGGGGCCTCGTCATCAACTCCTTCATCTCCTTGCAAGCACACGCTCTCCTTTTCAGCAAGTTTCTAAATAAGTACTTGGCCTGGAGGGAGCTTGCTTCCTATTATAAGGCAAAGCCATCCTTCCTGGCTGATGCTGCCTTTTGGGAAAATAGTGCACCAGGTATGGCATGTGGTTGCTGCCATCATTCAGGGCCCCCTGATCAGGGCCACAGGGAGGTTTCTCCACTGTCCCTAAAATGTCATGATCAGCTGGTTAGCTTTTACCTGGAAGGCACTGGGAGGTGACTCCTGTAACTGACCAGCTTTCCTCTTTGTGTTGACCCTTAGGAAGCTCAGAGCCAATTCAGAAGCTTCCAGGATCTAACAGCATGTGTTTCTGTTCAGTAACATTTTCCTTGGATTTGAGCCTACTTTACTACCTTCGTTTTCTCTTTGTCATGATTTATCTACTTATTTTGAATCTTCTCATTTGGGTCTTTTTTAGATGTCAGCCAGATTGTTTAGTGGCTTAAAAAGTGAATAGCTCTTCATACCATAAAAGGTGAACAAGGGGGAAAGGAAGCTCCAGACACTGATTCGTGGTCACCTGGCTGGATGTCTGACATCCGGGTTCCTGGGGCTCTGAAAGCCCCTTGTTTACCTGCGGGAAATCCCTGTGTCCAAACATGGAGGCAAGGTGAGCCGCCTTCTCCTTAATGTTCTTTTTGTGAAATTCCCTGTTGGCCAAATTCTCAGCCTTCTTCTGCAGTCAAGGCAAGAAAGGAGAAAGAAAAAAAGAGATAGTGACAGAGACTGCAATGGCGACCTCCAGAAGAGGCAGGGAGGCAGTCAGCTGAGCTTGTCTCTCACACCACACAGGGGGGAAGGAAAACAGGGAGTGAACGGCGAGAGAAGGATACCCCCGGGCAGGAGTGGGGAGAGGAAGGCACCCCAGACACAGGCAGAGGAAGGGCAGAGGGCGAGGCATCACCTGGAGAATCTTGTCCTCCACTTGCTGCAGCCGCCGCAGCACCCCGGAGAGGGCCAGTGCTCCCTGGCAGGCAGGAGGCACGGCAGCCGGATGGTCCGGCCCCCCCAGCTGCAGGTCAGACTTGGCTCTGGCTCTCCAGGGCCTGCTCGGGCACTCGCTGCCAGCAGACACTTGCTTTAGCTCTCGGAGCACATGCCCCGTCACAACCACCGAGGGGAACTGGGAGAAAAGGAAAATCAAGCCTCCTTCCCAACTGTGGCCCTTTCACAGACCCCCACAAGGACCAGGGATAATGGGCACAGTAGTGCCACCTTGAGTCAGATTCCAAACTAACCTCAGGGGGTGACTTTCTACTACCTGCAGCAGAAGCACCTGACCTTCTCATTAACAGCCACAGGTTGTTAATCACCCAGACCTACCTCGTCAAAACCTGTATGACCCTGGTCTCCATCCTAGCTGTACACTGAAGTCACCCAGGTAGTTTAAAAACAACCACCCAAGTCTGGGCCCAACCCCCAAATATTCTGATTTAATTGGTCCAGGGGTGGGCACCAGATATTGATACTTTTAAAAAACTCTCTAAGTGACTCTTACACAGGGGCATAAAATCACTGGAGTTTATCCACATCGACCTCATTCAACTTCCACCACCCAGGAGCAACACAGGATTCCTAATGCTGACCAGACATTTCTGAGTGCTATGGTCAGTAACAGTGATTGCATTCAGATTCCAAACCCAGAGGTTCTAGCTGGGAAAAGCCTCAGTCCATGGCCCTGGGCGGGTCCTCATCTACTCGGGCACCAGGGGAGCTTTTCACCAACCCCAGCCTCACCCCTTCAAAGGTGTGCAGCCAGTCAGTCACCTGAGCCCATTCCACCATCAAAGCCACTTTTCCATCTATTTAGAAATCAGCCTACTCAAGTAGTCTGCAAATAAAGCTAAGTGTCCCAGGGGTCTCACACCAAATGCCCCACATGGTGCGGTCCATTTTTCCTCAGGCAAATAAAGCAGCAGAAGCATGGTTGCTGGCCCATTGACAGCCCTGCCTGCATCTGTTTCAAGATGCTGCATATATGGTTATTCTTACCTATAGGGTGGGCCTCAAGCTCTGTTTGCCTTCCCAGAGAATCTACAGTCAGCCCTACTTGGGGTACAGGGAGGACCACTGAGCCCCCAACTCCCACCCCAGATCAATGTCCCCTCTGGCTCCAAAACAGCATCCACGGAAAGAGCCCTACCTGCCTTTTCAGAGGTGACAGGCTGGGTGTGGGCCCCTCCAGCTTGGGGCAGCGCCAGTTAACCGGAGGGCTGGAGGAGGAGCACAGGACAGGCTTACTTATCCCTGAGACACAGCGTTCCTGGGAGGTGGTGGGAATCCAAAGAAGCAGCCACAGAAAACACGAAGGAAGAGGCGAGTTAGACTGAGATGCTCAGGGAGGGGAGAGGAAAAGAGGCAGGGAGAGATTGCAGGAACAGAGAGAGCACTGGGCTAAGCTCCTACAGGCAGCACCCAGCTAAAAAGCTGGGTCCCTGGCTTGCTGTCCACAGGAACAGAGAGTCCCAGGGTTCCCTCTTGGACAATAGGTGAATCCCAGGGGAGTCTTGCTTTGGACTCAAACCTGGGGCACAGCTAGGGCCCATGCCAGGCAGGGTAGCCAGCCCCAGAGTCCTCCTGCAAATGTGAAAGCTTCCTGCCCACTAGATGATGGGAATTCCACAGTCCTTCTGATGGAAGAAAACACTCATCAACACTTGGGGGCTGCAAGAGGCCAAGCTTCCCGGAGGGGCAAATGAGGGAAAATTCGGAGAATTGCAAATGTCAGGAAAATGGCCCCCTTATGAAACCTAGCTTCCTGGGGAAGGTCAGTTTTTCCAGAAGGGGCATGGTCTGCATCAAGACCAGAAAGACATCTGTGATGGCTTCTAAACCTAATTGAGCAAGGGTCTGTCTTCCTCCTGAGAGGAGCCTAATTCTGTCATGTGACAGGTGTTCTCCAAAGAAAAACTAAGCCCTCATCCTGTTTGTACTGTGACTGTGACATCGCAGAGGAATTCAGAGGAGCAAGCTGACCCATGTGGCAGAGGCCCCGAACCAGAGTCTGGGGGAAGTCAGCTCAGTCAGCGGCCTGACCCACAGCCCCACCTGGACCCTGGTCACTCCACAGCCCTGCAGCCTGACCCGAGGGAAGGAGAGGGGGCACCAGAGAACACCTGGCAGCTGAGTCCCCATTACTGTAGGCCCACATGGGGTGAAGACCCATGACTCAGTTTCCTCTGGTTTGGACGAGTCCCCAGCAGCCAGCATCTCTAAATCTCCCTCGAGCTGTACCATGTCAAAGATGGCTGCCAACAAAATCATGGTGCAAAGCAAAACCAAATCAGGGGAGGGGCTTCCTCTCCGGTGCAGAACCAGCATCAGCAAACTACGGCCCCCAGGACAAATCCAGCCTGCTGCCTGTTTTTGTAAATAAAGTTTTCCCGGCACGCAGTCACACACATTTGTTTTGGTATCGTCTATGGCTGCTTTCAGGCTGCAACAGCACAGTTGCATGGCTGTGACATCCAATGGCCCCCAAAACCTGAAATATTTTGCTGTCTGGCCTCTATTAGAAAAGTCTGATTTCCGGTCTAGGAGAAACTCCAGTTCACCTGGGCCAGGCCTGGCTGGCATAGCTGAAATCCATCACTATCCTGAACATTTCTGCTGGCCTGTCAGTGGGTTCTGCTCAGCAGGAAGGCAGGTCCAGTAAGCATTGACAGGACTCACCTGCTTCAGGACTGACGGGTTCCGAGAGTTCTCCTCAAACTTGGCCAGCAGCTGACTTGCCATCGACTTGACTTTGTTCTGGTTTCTGCCTTCTTTACTGCCACTGCCTTCTTGGTTGGAGCCCACACTCTGGCTGGAAAAGGCTGCAAGCTGCAGAAAACCAAGTCAGTGCACTGGCTGTGGGATCCTGGAACCCTGATATCAGGAGGTGGCCTGGGTACCCAGGACATGGGGCTAGTTTCCTGAACAGGGATGCCTTCCTTGGCCTGAGAAAGTGAGGCAGAAGAAGCAGGTGATGCCCAGTGGAAATAATGTTCACAGGAAGGACTCGCTTTCCCAGGTGGGCACGTGCACCCAGGCTTGGGTGCTGGACAGAATGTGAATCGTGACTCACACTTCCCAACTGGCAACTTACTTAACCAGTCTTGCTCTGTTGCTGCTTTCTTTTAAACAAGATTTTAATTCTGAAATAATCTTAGATATACAGAAAAGTTAAAAAGATAGTACAGATCATTCCTGTATACCTCTCACCCAGCTGCACCTAATGTTAACATCTGGAATGATCGTGGGACTGTTACCAAAACAAAGACATTAATACTGGCACTGTACTATTGACTAAACTATAGACTTGATGGGGATTACACCAGTTTTCCCACTTATGTCCTTGTAGGTGTAATCCAGGATCCCACATTGCATTTAGTCATCACAACTCCTCTCACCTCCCATCTGTAACAGCTTCTCCAACTTTCTTTACCTTTTGTGACCTTAACAGTTTTGAAGGGGACTGGTTAGCTATTTTGTACTAAGTCCCTCAATTGGTTGGTCTGATGTTTTCTCATGATTACACCAGGGTTGCGGGTTTTGAAGAAGGATGCCACAGAGGTGAAATGCCTTTATTGCTTTATATCAGGGTGACGTGACAAGCCAGATGAGATGTTGGCTGAGGTCACTTGGTTATGCTGTTTCATAGAATGGAGTTCTATGTAAGATTTCTTTGGCTCATGTGCTAAAACTAAAACTTAGAAAATTACCAGTGTTCATTGAATATCTGTTCCCCCTTAGCACAGGATCTGCTCCCATGTGTCTCAGAAGTATAAATGACAGTCGTGTCAGGTGGGCAGTGCTTCCCCAAGGAGACAATGAGTCTCCCACATTCTCAAGACAACAAAGGTATCTTCACTTAGAAGAAATTCATGGGAAGAAGCAAGTTAGTGCCAACATTTTTGAAAAGATTCCCTAAGAATAGTAGTCCATGGGAAACTTTGTACAGCTAATCTTAACTGTTGGAAAAACACAAACCAGAGAGTCATTCCCCACTTCAAAATGGGAAATATAACTCTGAACATCATTGGCTTGAGTGCAAAGGGGGATGAGTTTACAGGGTGTCACTGTTCGTACAAGGCCAAAGTCAACTGGGCAGTGGGTCGTGCAGATCAGCACATCTCAGATGTTGGTGTGTACACGAATCCCAGAGGGCCTCCTTCAAAAACAAACGCAGGTTTGATGGTCAGGGTAGGCCCTGAGACTCTGTATTTCTAGCCAGCTGCCAGGCAATGCTGTTGGTTTTTGGTGCACACTTCAAGGAGCTATAATTTAGACAGAATTACTGCTTGGTTAAATCTGACTTTAAGCAAAATAGCTGGTTCCGACAATGGTCCAGAGCTCTCTCAGAAGGGGCAGGTGCAAACCAGATTTCTTCCCACACTCTAACTCCTGTGCTGCCATCAACAAAAATAGCACAGACACCTTTCAAATAAGCCATGAGTGAAAGGCAGGAGAAGACTTCTACCTGATACAAAACGTATCAGAGGGAAGCTTCTTGGGAGGAGGCAGGAGCAAATCACTGGCACTTAGGGCGGGAGCCCACACCCCCAGCCAGGGAAATGGGACGTCACCGCTGCCCTGGTGATCAGCCTCTGCTTCCTTCTCTCAATTTCTCCCTATTTGCTGGTTTCTTGCTCAACAAGAGCCAAAGGAGAGGGAGGTAACAGCTCTTAAAGGGATCACCCAAAGAAGTTCTGGAAAAGGGTTGCTTGAGCTCATTGGATAAATTGTTTGTGCATGCTTTAAGATGTGAACTGAACTCCAATTACCCTTATCAATGCTTCTTTGGCCCCCCCAGAAAATGAGGGGAGCAATAGGCAGCCCCCCAACTCCCTGAGGTGGGCCTCATGGCTCTATTGTTATAAAGTTCACTGTTGTGAGAACCCGCATCCTGACCCTGGCCAAGGTTTCCACATGAAGCAAGTCTAGACATGGAAAATGATGTCACAAAAATATACAATAATAGCTCTGCAACCATGTAAGATATAAGTCTTTTCTAAGTTCTATAACTCAGGAATCAATGTGTTATATGAACTCTCCCACGTGCCTCTATGTCATAATTTTGACATCAGCCAGTAAGGAAGGTAAAGCTGGCACTTACAGCTCCCTGACAGGAATTAAGCTTTCTTTTCTGGGATTAGACCAGCTTCTACAAAGGAAGCATATGTCCCAGGTCACTTTAAAGAGCTGCCTGGGAAAGCAGAATGTGGTACTCTCTTCTTCTGCTAATGAGTTTTTCAGTAGCAGAAGAGTCATGATTGAGAAAGTAGCCTGTAATTTTCTTCCTTCACCAGAAGGCGGTGCTTGTGCGGCTGGGACATTCATCTTAAAGACGGCGCACAAAACATAAAAGGTAGAAAAAAATTGTGGCTGGGAGAAAAGTGGGGCTGCTGGTACCTCTTTACTACCTCCTATGAAAAGTGATTAAATACTGATTAACATAGGTGCTCGGCACGTTACATGTCCTCTGAAATCTTCAAAAATCCTGCAGTTTCATACATTTCCAATGTATGGTCTGATGCTTTACAGATGTGAGCCACACCCTAGGAGGTTATGTTTTCCAAGGTAACACAGATACTTAGTAGTAGAGGGAGGACCAGAACCAACTTTTTCCATCAAACCAAGCTTGAACATAAGTGGTTCACGAAGGAGGAAAGAGGGAAGGGCCAGTGCTGCTGTCACTGTCAGGTGGGCCTGTGGCTGCTGGCTGGCAGGCAATGGGCCTTGGTTTAAACTGACACTGTACACACGAACCTCATCCAGATTGTGGAAGCCTTTCCGTCTCCGTTTGTTCATGTCATTTTCTTCGGTTTGGCTGTCCACCTGCAATAGCCAAGAAAGCGTGGTGAGCTCAGGCCATTGAGGTCTGCAGAGCACAAAGAGCCTTGAGCCAGCACGGGAATACAGCCCTGCCCTCAGGCAGCTGCCAGCCCAGGAGACAGGCAGACATCAATCACACTGCACCATGACAAATGCTATCACAGACTTCTGCTCAGCATAGCGGAGGCAGCCAGCGGTTCTATCAGAAGGGGTGGGAATCACATCCCAAAAGGTCATGTGGAAACATCCCAAAGCACAAAGAATCCCTGTGACGTGGGCAGGACAGGGACTGTCTCATTGACAATGTGGTCTTGGGCTCAGGGCAGTCACAGGCAGGCCTGCTGATGTCCCTCAGCGTGTAGCCACACTGGTCCTACCTCCTACAAGGAGGAGGCACTGCTTGCCTGCAGGCAGCGATTCTCAGGGCTTGGATCAGTGGTCCAGGGATTTGATGGAGAATTACATCTGCATTCAGTCACCCTTGTAGCCACCAGTAAATATTTTATTTACTTCAAAGAAGCATCAGATATGGTCTGGAAACTAAGAGGACCAGAGAGCCCAGTTTGTCCAGGACAGTTTGATTTGCTGGAGTTTTTTTTTGCATGATTATTCATTGTGCCTCTTTTCATTCTCAAAAGTATCTTGGTTTAGACAATGATATGGTTGCCCTACCAATAACTTCTTGCAGTCTACTCTCTGCTGTCTGAATTGGAATATTTAAGTCTGGAGAACCCTGCTCTACCCAAGTGCATTGAACCAACTCTGTTAAGGACCACCAAAGGGCACACCCATTGTTAGGCTTGTCGCCTCAAGGGAAGGCGTGGGACTGCATGGGTGGGGTTGGTGCTGTGTGCTGGGATGGATGTGGGGGGCTGGATTTAATATCTCCTCTGCATCCAGGTAGGTACGCCTATCCTTGACACCAAGGTTAGACCTCCCAACCCACCTGTGTCTGATATTTTCTCTGTAGGCACCTTTGTATAGACATTTTTACTGCAAGTATTTTTTGCTGCAAACATTTTCACTGTATAACTAATTGGCTATATGGTAATTTTGCCATGAAAGAAAAACATAACTGATTGAAAGTTTGGTTTTATTTCCCCACTGACATAGTACTGACATTTTTATATTATATAAATCTTAGCTCTCATAATGGTCTGTATAGTGGTACAGAGTTTTTTGGGGTTTTTTTTACTTTTTTTAAAAATTTTGTTATCATTGATCTACAATTACATGAAGAACATTATGTTTACTAGGCTCTCCCCTACCCCAAGTCCCCCACACAAACTCCATTACAGTCACTGTCCATCAGCATAGGAAGACTTTGCAATGTCTATCAATAGACACATGCCAATATGTCAAGAACAAATGACAGCGTAGAAGGTTTTCACAATGCAACCCAAAGCTCAGTTACAAATATGCATCCTAGAATTTGGAAACTGAGACCTCTCTTAATGAAGGAAGAAATTTTAGCAAAAAAAAGAAAAGAAAAAGTGCAATAATAAATAAGGACACAAATGAACAAGCAAAAAAAAAAAGAGTATTATGAATGAAAGACTTTGAAGACAAGTGCTGAGGTATAACCCACAAGACAAAATCGGTTACTTGTATAGCATAGCCATGAATCTACACTATACATTTTGAATGTATTCAAATATTTTGTATTTCATAATAAACTTTTTTAATTTTGTTATTCATTTTCATGTTTCATTATGTCCTTTCTAATCAAAGTGACTCTTAATTTTTCATGCTTTTATCTTTTATGGTAAAATTGCTTTATGGCCAATTAGTTACATGGTAAAAATGCTCACAGCAAAGACGCTTACGGAAACATTACCTAGAGCCCTACCACCAGTGTCCAGCTGGGGTCTTCTCCAAACGGCCTGCCCCAGGAGGATTATGGAGCCATCCCCACCGTCCAGGTATCCCTCCTGCTGGGAGCCTCTTATACCCTCAGAGGGGCCCTCCACAGCAGGCCCAGGTAAGTCCCAGACTCTTTTCCACCTTGGATGCAGTAGGAAGGGCTGCTCGCCCCTCTCTTCCCTCACACCCAGAAGTAGAGCCCAACAGCCTCATACAGCTGACCCTTGTCCAGTCACAGGGGGGTTCTTTTACCTCCTGGCTGATCGGTAACAGCAGTAACTACCACAGCCCCAGCACACAGTCTACCATGTACCCACTTGCTTCCAATTACTTCCCAGCTCTTTCACTTCCCATCACCCCATCTCTTCCTCTTTACTTCCCATCACCCCATCTCTTCCCCATATTTACCAGCACCTTTTATATTTTTAAAGACAAGATAAACCACAGTTTAGTCACTGATGTTTCTTCAAAAATTTGACCGTTCCCTTACCCAGGCAGCACAAAACAACAGATCAAAGGGCCCGCCTTCCCCTCAACATTTTCTCAGCTTCTCATAAATCATTATTCTGTGAATGGAAATGATTTCAACCCAAATGCTTGGGCAAACACCAAGAGAAACAGATGACCTTATTTGCAACAATGTTGGGTCTCAGAAGCACAGGCTGTCTAGGCCCCAGTTCCACAGCCTGTGAAAGCTGCTCTGGCCGGCAGCAGGGAGACTGGAGTCTGAGAGAACAGGATGTCCTACCCAATAAGAACACTTCATGCATAATTTTAAGGGTTTTCTGTTGTTGTTTTTTTGCCTGTTTCCACCTTAAAGGAGGACTTGGCTTTTCCCTCAAAGAGCAACGTATCTTACTCTTTTTTGCATTTAACAGCCTGAATTTGACTACTCCAATATCAGAGACTGCACAGGCCTGTCTGTTAGCCACAGGCTCGTAAGGAGCATTCCTGGGGGACATGCCCCGCAGCAGCACCTGAGAGGAATCCAATCCTTGGGAGGGGAAGGGGGGAGAATACAGGAAGTGAGTGGGACAACCGCAGCTCCTCTGATTCGGCCTGACCCCAGACAATCAACTGTAGTCTACATGGAAAGGTTAGCAACATACATACTCAGAAGGTCTTTACCATTCCTTATGGATTTGTCTTGGAAGCACTGATTCTCAACTAAGAACCAGGTTAAAACAAAAAGGTGAAGAAAACTCAAACCCCTCAGATTTACCTCATTTTTTCTTATCTATACCTCTCTATTCTGGCAGCTAAAATTGCCTTAGTATACCTATTTCCTTGGACTCTATTTTGTTCTACAAAGAATGGGATACAAGGAGGAAGGAAATACTAATTGTGCCCATGCAGAGAACATGAGAATAAACAAATAACTTACTTTCTTTTCCTATTAATTTTGTCCTGCCTTTCACCCTAAGAACACTTTCTTAGAATGATTTTCCAGTGATTTGAAAGGCTCTATATAACAAAAGACATTTATTAAACTAATCGGTGTCTCCATTAAAAAAAAATCAAAGACAAAATCTGATCACTTATTTGATCAGCACAAAATAATCATGTTCCCATATTTCCTGACTTAATGTGATTTTAGCCCAACACAAACAAACTTTATATTTAATTAGTTAGTATAGCCTAACCCTGGAGAAATTTAAATCTGAGTCATAGGAAGAGAAATTCGTTATTATAGGCAATGGCCTGGCTGAGTAGGGAGGCAGCCATGACATTTAGAAAGATGGCAGTTACACTGGCAAGATAGCTCTTTTCTTCAATGGCAGAGCAATAAGAAGTCACGGGTTCAAGTTCCTGCCTGTGTGACCTTAGGAAAATCCCCTAAGTTCTGACTTCAGTTTGCTTCCCTATATTATAGCTATAAGAGAACACTTATAAAGCTATTATAAGAACATTTATACAGCTATTATAGCTGTAAGATACTTCCTAGCTCATAAATTGTAAGGATTAATGAAATCATATATTCAAAACACTTCTTATAACATAAAATGCTAATAAGTGTTAGCCACTGTTACTTAGGTTAATGCTAGTTAACTAAATTAGAAAATCTGAATTCTAATTCTGACTTTTATATTCGCTACCTATGTGACATTGCAATTTAATCTCTGAACATCCAAGGGTCAAATCTCTAAAATTGAGATGAGAATACATTCACCACCTTCCTTAATAGGGAAAATGAGGAGCACATGAGATATACATGAAACTGCTTTGTGTGCTGAAAGCACTACATCAGGTTGCACTGCAGACCCATGTGTTCAATCCAGCTAGTTTCACTCGTCTTTTCAGAAAATAAACACCTTCATTTAATCAGTATCCCTAAATAAAGGGCAGGAGTGATCATTTATGGAGCCCTTTCCATGTGCCAGAGAAGGTGCTCAGACCTGCAAGGTGCATTCATTCATGTCTTGACTGCAATGCAATGCAGTGTTTATTATAATTGTTTTGCAGAAAAGCAAAGGAACTTTCTGTGAGGGTCACACATGTGCTGAATCCCCAGCAGCCCTAAATATGTATTTGTCTGCCTGGCTGCAAAGTGTGTTCCCATTCTGCAAATCAGCTCAGAATTCTAGGCTGCGATTGTACAGAGGACAGGAGAGAGATCACCCTACAAACCACAGGTGCCAGAGGGACTGCAGTGGAATCTAGTACTCTTGCCTCTCCTAAACTTTCTTCAAATCTCTGAGTTGAGAAGTACTAGAAACCTAGCAGGGAGCTTTGGTTGCTGAGTGTGGGTTCTGTAACAGAGGCTGAGTGAGAGGAACTTAGGAGGGTCCATTAGAAAGTTAGCACCCTTGGGCAGGGTCCTTGCTTGCCTTGTCACATACTACCCCAGCACCCAGAGGAGGGCCCAGCACAAAATGGGTACTGGGTGAATACCTGATGCATGAGTGGCTGGGCAGAGGAAGCACTTCTTTATCTAATGCCCCTGGCTCTCAGGACAGTGCTTGTGCAGGGGGGTCAAGGAGAGAAGAGCTGGGACCCCGACATGAGTCATGCTTCGTGAACTCCACCCCACCAGGGACTGGTGCTGGAGGAGGACCTGGGTCCGAATCAGCTGAGTGGGGTAAATATCCCGGCTTCTGGGATAGGCTTTTCACAAACAAGTCATCACTTTGGTGTTGTTTTTGTGCCCTAAGGAGCGGGCTCAGAAGAGGAAAACAAGGGTCAGATACCCTGAGGGTGACTGTCATGTATGAGAACTGCAGTGGCCGTGAATCCAGCCATTGTCCCTGTGTGGCAGGTCTAAGACAGCACAAACAGGAAGACAGAGACCACAGGTGTATGTCCACATGTCACCTGTGGTACATGATGACAAGGTCTCTGGATCCCAGGAGTTATGCCATGCCATGAGGCTTTTAGAAGCTGACCAGGATCAGAGGCAGATCTGTCGAAGCAGAACAAGGGCTTTTTAAGGGGGAAATACAGTCCTCAAGCCCTTCTCCTTTTTCCAGGTGTGGGCCATCCAGTCTTCAGGCTAATAAATCAACCCCAGGGGTTATTACCACTCACGAGAGGGACAACCCTTTGGCAGATGGATGAGAAAGTTATTCTCTCTAAAAGTAAACTAAGTCCTTGGTGAAGGACAAGGTTTTTATTTTGCCTGAAGTTGAGGAGTCTTGTAGGGATTGGGATGTTATCAGAATTAGGGATGAGAGAATGTTGTAACATCAACAGTGAAAACCAGGAGGGAAAAAGATTTCTAAGACTGGCTCAGCAAAAAAAAGCAATGAACCCTCTTTCAGACTGAGATGCTGCAGTGTGAACAAACATGGGCTGCTCAAGTCCTATGTCAAGATGCTCCTCTGGAGTTAGGGAGGGGGTAGTGAGGGGCAGGGAGGGATCAGGAAGGGGGAGAGGTCGAATACCAACACACCTGTCTGTACAGACACTGTGTGTGCTATGGTGCAGAATTACCATACCAAGCATGGACGAGCCTGCGTCTCTCATCCACAGGGACACAAGAGCTTGGGCATTGAGGATTCTGTCTAATTGCACTGACATTGCCTGTGTGTAACTGTGGTGGAGCCTGTGTGTGTGTGTGTGTGTGTGTGCACATGTGTGTGTGTGTCTGTGTGCAGTTTTCGGAGTCTCCTGTGCAGACACGTCCCTCATACCCACCCCAGGGGAAGCTGGAATAGACTCAGTGCTCTTTGCTTGTAAGAAACATTAAGACCAAAGGGCATTGCAAATGGGTCTCTCAATCCAAAAAGGTACCTAGATACGACAAGAAGACACGTGGTCAAGTAGGGAGAAAGACCTTTGTGTGTGGTCTGATCACCATGCTGGCACTGAGAGACGGACAATGTGCTGTAGTACCTCAGTGATGACCAAGGCAGAAGGTGACCCAGGGGCTTACTAACTCACCAACCCACCCAAAGCAAGTATTCAGTTAGTTTGACGAAAAAGAGAAGGACAAATAATACCTATGCCAGGTACTTCAATGACCTAATCTCTCTACTTCTTGAGATGGGCTGCCTGGACATGGCTCACAGTGTGGCAGGGCTGGGCAGGCAGAGCCCACCCACTCGCACTGCATTTCCTAGAGGAAAGTGGAGCGAGAACCCAGCAGTCCTGGAGGGCCTGGCTGGCCCCCTGACTGCCGACTTCTGACCGTTCCTACCTCCTGACCCAGCTGGCCAGCCTGTTTTAATTCGGTCACTCTGTAAACAGAGGTGTGGTGAGCGAAAAGTTTAAACATTCGTCTCCAGTTTTCTCTGCTGTCCCCAGTGTGGGCTAAGTGGTGGGAAAAGCTGGATGAATGCAGAAAGGTCATAAATTTTTGGCTCAGAGAGCTTCCAGAAAGGCTGCCCTGGCTTGTTTGGGATGGAAAGCCCAAAGCAGGGATCCTTGGTTTCAGAAAAACTGGCTGTGCTGGGGTGGAACAAGCCTATGACTGGTTTCTGAGAGATGGCTTTTGCTCCGCGGGGCAACACAAGCCTCACACAGAACCTCTGAGTGAGGCAGCTTGGAGAGCAGAAGGGGACAGAGGCTGGGTGCAGCTCAGCCATTTAGCTCCCTGCTGAAAACCTGCCCATCTTCGTTCCCAGCCACAGACTCACTACCCTACTCCTTCCTGAAGACAAGGCATGGCAGAGCGTTACATACCCAGCTCCTGGGGTTGGCATGACTGTTGCAACATTCCAGGGAGTACAGACCTCAGTGGGAAAAGTGACCACTCCTCACACAGCCAAGGGAAAGGAGGCCATGCAGACCCACCCCCGCCATGGGCAGACAGGCTGGCAGGACATAGCATGACTGGCCAGGAGTTAAGAGATTCTTGGCAATCTCAAGAGACCAAGACACATGCAGAAGCCTGCAGCCCTTTGCTGGGTGAGGGGTGGGCTGCCCCACCGCCCTAGAGGGAAGACAAGCTCTATGCAAGTAGTTTGACCTTGCCATCTTTGGGCCTCCATTTTTTAATAGGTAAAAATGAGCACATTAAGCAAGATCATTTGTATTATAACATCCATGGAGATGCCATCATTCAAGTAAATTATAATTTCTCATTAAGCCTGTACTTCCCAAAATGTGTACCAAGGCACCCTGTGGCACCATAGTGAGGTCACAGAGGAGCAGCAGGGTATTTTTAATTTTTTAGGGAAATATGGTGATGTCTGTCATATACCTTGCAAAATACCACTTTATTTGGACTTAACTACTTAATCAACAAAACTTTAAGGTATTTCTTTCAATCAGGAGCATAGAAAAAACTACTGAGACTCTCAGGGTGCCGTAAGTTGGGAAACTCCAGAAACCTATTTTTTAGGGTCTGAGCACCTCAAAGGCAAGGGCTATATATTATTCACCTCTGTGTATTTGCTCCCTTCATCTAAAACAAACAAAAAATTCATCCCTAAACTTGGCTTACAGTAGGGCCCAATAAATATTTGCTGAACAGGTAAAAAAAAACTAATGGGACAGAATGTGCAAACGCAGCACCGCCATACACTTCTGCCACTAATGGCCATTGTGCTCCTGATCTAAACTGCTTAACAAAGCGAGAAATGGTCTCTTCTTCCCTACTTAGGGGGCAGAGCTAATCTGATTCCCTCCTAAAAATACTCACCAGCATGAACTCTCAGGGGCCTCCCAAACCTCCTATAACCATTTTTAAGTCACCTAAGCCAGCTACATGTTGCCAGAGGCAACTTCCCAAAATAGTCAGGTACTGAACTGAGTTTTACTCATGTCTTCAGGGAGCACTTGATCTGTGTAATTTCTCAGCATGAACAGATCAAGAGCATGACATTCTCCCTTCCCTTTGCCCCATCCAAGTGCAGAGAGAAATTAAACAAACACCAGGCTGAAACTTACACGTGGAGTCCTTTTCCTTGGAAACGTGAGGTTGAGATAGTTACTGGAAATGGATGATTTGGCCATGCTGAGGTCAGAGCTTTGTCCATAGTTTCTGCCCCAAGAATCTGTTAGGAAGTGAAAGGATGACTGAGACTGGGATTCTGCCAACATTACCCCAGGGCTCAGCAGGTGTTATTGCTACAAGGTCCTTCCAGAACAGTTCTGTCACCCCCAACTAAAGACGTAAGTGGCCTGGGTAGGGGGCTGATGTAGCTCTATCAGTGACCTCCCAGGGATGGAGTGGGGCAGACCCTCAGCCTCACGTGGCACCTGCCACACAGACACACTTCTACACATGGGTCTGAGTGGGTGCTCTACCCCTCTTTGGCCTCAAAGTCAAAGGAAAGGCATGGGTCAGGCCCATAACAGAGGACAACAGTATGAAGAGAAGCCAGGTGCAGGCACCTGGCAGAGATGGCTCACCCAAGGGCAGGTCCTTACCCACAGGCCTCAGCGGGGTGCCCCGGAAGAGCTCGTAGAATCTGGACAGGTACATGGCCATGCTGAGTTTGTCTGGCCCCTGGGCTGATGCCATCTCTTTGCCTGTGATCACTGGGGGGATGCCAAACTCACGCTCGGCCACATCAAATGCCAGCTGGTTGTTCTCCACGGTGTCATCTTCATTTAAAGAATCAAAGTTGCTATAGAATCAAACAAGGTGAAGTTCAGGGACAGGTGACAGCGATGTGAAGAGATGAGCAAACTTACCCATTATGGGTGTCACTCTGGCAGGTGTCGGAGGGGGTAGGGAGGAGGATGAAAGAGCACTGACCCCAGCCCCTGCTCCCAATCACTCCCAGCCCCCCTTCCCACCCTACACCTGGAAGAAGACACTAACCCTGTCCTTCTCACTCAAGGTGGGACCGAATCAGGTTTGGGCCATGATAATGTCATGAGGCCTGGGCTGAAACAATCAGGCAATGATTACTACTTCTTTGGAAAATCCATGAGCTACTTTATTTTTAAGTAGTTCCCTTATGTTCTTTTCCTTTTAATTATACATGTAATATGGGCTTCTTATAAAAAAGAATTGTTATATATAAACACACACAGTGACAAGTGAGCACCCTGTCCCCTTCTCCTGGCAGCCTCACTTCCTAAATTTATCAAATGATACCCTTTAGGAGGTTTCCTTTCAGCCTTTTGGGTGAACTTGCTCATGGGTGTGAGGTTACACTGCAGTTGATTCAAATATAGTGTCAATACCTGGATTGTGCTTTCGACTTCACAAAGTGTTTCCACAAACATAATCCAATCTTCCTAATGACCCTGTCATTATTCCCAACTTATACATGAAGACACAAACTCCAAAAAGATAAGTGGTTTGTCAAATGGCACACAGCTCATTGATCTGGGTCTGAAATCTAATTCTTTTGGACCTCAGACTGGTCCGCACAATTAGCTCTTTCTGATAATTCCCCTCTTGAGGGTAGAGCTCCAAGGTGCGAATATTCAAATTTCCCAAGTGTGACGATGGAGGGAGCATGAGGGACGAGTGACATCACTGGGCCCAAGCCACTTTTGCTCCTCACCTATCAGGAACACAGACCAAACAAGTTGCTGGCAGAGAAATCAGTGCAAAAGGAAAAGAACATAATTAAGAAAAAACAAATTGAAAATATGTAAATAGAAATTTTGAACCAAGGTTCTGCATCTAGCGGAAGAACCCTGGTTTCCCTTGTCACCAGGGTCCCCTTGGGCTGTGAAGGGCTTGGCAGCTCCAGCCTGGGCCTCAGACTCACATTAGCTCAGGCCGGAAGCGATGGATGATGGCACACAGGGCCAGGCCACTCTGCCAGGATGTGGTCAGGTCAGTGACGTTGACATGCTGGTAGCCCTCAGTCTGCTGCTGGCACCAAGTTAAGAGCTTGCTAGGCCGAATGTCTGACTCTGAGTAAGGGGAGAGAGTCATTAGTGAAGTGCTCTGGGGACCTCAGCAGCTCCCCTGGGGACCCCCTCTGACTGCTACCATGGCTGGCGACTAGGAGGAACAGCACTAAGGCAAGGGGCCATTGGCACGGACGCAGTTTCTGAGAGGCCCTGTCAAGAGCATGGTGGGGGGCAGGGCGCTGGGACCAGAGGCATGCTCCCCTGCAGTAGAGCACCTAAGGCCCTCTGGCCTGGCCAGTTAGAGGCGAGGAACACAGAGGAGAGGATGGATGCCAACATCTCATGTAGTGGGAGGATGGGCATGGAAGCAGGGGACGATGACATGGAGATGCAATGGTGGAGAAGCAGCGTGCCAGCGACCATGTGAGTGGCTTGGCCCCAGTCTGCCAGGGCAGGGGTGCTCGCCAAAGACAGAGTCATGGAGGCGTCACATTTGAGCTGCTTCTTGAAGAATGTCTAGGAATTTATCAGACAGATGCAGGCATTCCAGGAAAACAGAAAGGACTCTGCCATGGCAAAGAATCTAGAAAAAGCATGTTTGTATAAAACAGTTTATTACCACTGGGGCCTGTGGTGTGAGGAGGGAAGCGGGGAGTAGATGATGAAGCTGTGCACCCCACAGCAGGGACGACACGAGGGCTGGGTGGCAGGGGAAGCCAGAAAGGCTTTGTGCAGGATGGTGACCTCAGCAAAGCCAATGGGTGCTGGGAAATTGTTCATCTAATTGTCCCTTCCCTCCGCCAAGAAAAGAGCAGAGCACGTGGAGCTTACATAGCTGGGGAGACAAGACTCCCATACTGGAAGTATCAGGAAAAAATAGCAAGTCCAGGCAAAGCAATTCCACAGTTCACCTTATGTGCTAAGCACTCAGCTCCTAACTCCTTTATAAGCATTCTACGGTAGGTAGTGGTGTCCTGGTTTTACAGATGAGGAAACTGATGCACAGAGGAGAGGCGCCTGGCACAGGTCACACGGGTCACTGGAGCAGAGCCAGGCAGACTGCAGGCCCTGTGCCCCCACGGCCACCTGGCAGGCCCTCCCCACAGCCTGGCCAGGGTCCCAGGGGGGCCACTTACCCCGCCTGGAGAGGCCAACAGATCTGCGCACTGAGTCCAGCCTCTCGAGAGGGCACTGGGGCAGCTCCTTAGTGATGTACAAATGCTTCACCTACAAGCAAGACAGACCACAGAGCTGCCTACCAGTTTTTTCTCCAACCCCAGTCTCAGGGCTGCTGGATGCAATCCACCCTCTCTCCAATGTCAACCACCCTTTTTCTCTATCACTGGAAGGCCTGACCATCAGCAAGGGAGTCCCAGTGAACTGAGACACAGAAGAAAGATCTCAGTTACCCATTCACATGTCAGGGAAGTTCAGTGTAGATATATGTAATCAGCCAGTTTTGAAAATTCACAGCACTTTTTGTGCTATTGATTAAAATGGTGGGGGTTGAGTGGTTCTGAGTCAATGAGAAAAAAATGGACTCTAGGATCATGGATGGAAAAGACTTCATATCTGGCTAAGTAGGTTATTTAAGGGAGGTATGCTTATCAACATATATGCATGGTGACAAATAAACATATGTAAATATAGGTACATATGGGATACATAGCGATATGTGTTCTATTTCTCTCCTGTGAGTTAGAGAGATGCTGACTCTGTTTCCCTTTTCTGGCTCTCCTAGGGAGAGGAATCGGTCCCACCTTTGGGCCAAGAAGCAGTGGTGGCTGTGGTTCCAGGGATGTGCCAAGATTTTATGTGCCCCCTCCCTGTCCCCACTCGGTGCAGAATGACCGAGATGGGGCCCCAGGGAAGGACTTACCTGATGTGGCCTCACACAGTTTGAGTTGAGATTTGGGTACCGCGTCCCTGGGTCCAGCGTGTACTGCTCGAAGTTCTTGTGGATATTCTCTGGGGTTGTCTGAGGTAACAGCCGGTAGAGACTTTCTCTGGCAGGAGGCAGAGCCCAGGGTCAGGGGCTGCGCTTGTAGCCTTAGGCCTCTGTCCTCCACCCCCATCCCCTGCTCTCACGGGAGTCTTAGATGTGTCTGTGTAAGCCTTCCCTGCCGTGCCTGGCCTGGTGGTGCTCAGGACTGCCAAGTAGGGGAGGGCCCAAGGGGCTGAGAAGAGGAGGAGGGAGGCCAGACTGAGCAGGGATGCAGAGCTGGCAGCCAGGGGCCTGTGGTTTTGCTGTGACCACCACTCAGCCACTCTGCCTCCTGTGGCCTGTCCCCATGACCACAGGCCTCCACACTCAAGGCCAGCAGGGGGCTGTCCCACCTGCCAGCCAGCCCTGACTTCTCCCAGTCCACCAGCTGTCACAGCCACATGGCCAGCGGCAGGGGTCTGGGAGGAAGCCCAGGGTCTTAGGAGCAGAAGAGCCCTGGGAGGTCAGAGGACCCAGCCCCCAACAGGGCAGGGCACTCAGCCCTGCAAAGGGATCTTCTCCTAAACCTCTTCTGGCTCCTGGGTGACTAAGCAGCACCAAGAACCCCAATTTCAGGGTCCTCCAGATGAAGATTTATCTTTGGCATCCAGCCTAAGGCCCTGGTCCCCAGAGAAAGTCACTGAGAGGTAGATCATGATGGAGAAAGCTTCCTTGGGGACCTTGATGGCCAAATCAGGTCACATGTGAGAAGGCAGATGGGAACAAAGGCTCCAGGTTCATCCAGGAGCCAACAGACGGCCAGCCTTGCTCCATCTCCCACCTGAGCTCCTGAACCAGTCCTGCCCGGAGTGAGGAGCCCTGCTGTCAGTACTCACCTTTCAGCCAGCAGCTCCAGGGGAGCAGTGCCCTGGTCCCAGCTCTTCACCATCCATGCCGTGTCAAAGGCTGCCAGGAAGCCACGGGCACAGCCTGTGCCCATGGGCCAGAATGGCTACAAAAGGTAACATGCCAAATTGTGGTTGATTCCCATGACTCCCAGCCTGCTATCCAGCACTCGGTGACTGCCCGGCCCCTGGGAAGCACTGGGGGATACAGCGGTGGCACTAGGGTCCCCGCAAACACAAACAGATGCAGCCAAAGGCATATGTAAAGGGCACTATGACTCATGGGACAGCAAAACTGCTTCGGGTCGAGGCAAATTCCGGTACTGGGGAAGGAAGACGGAGATCAGGGAATGCTCCACAGAAGAGTTGCATTTATACTGACACTAAAGAATGGATAGGATTCTGAGAGTCATCCATTCTGGAAGAGGGTGGGCAAAGGAATGGTGGTGGGAAATGAAGGAGTCTGATGGGAGATGGAGGGGAGCACTCAGAGAGAAAACAGAGAAGGGCGACCGGGACAGAGTGGGGGTAGGGTTGCAGTCCACACCCAGTGCTGAGCCTGAACTGATTCACCGAGGGAAGTTCTGACTCCACTGTTCACGGGCACCCAAGCATGGTTTGGAATTTGACTCTTACCTGGGATAAATACATAAACATTTCTTGAGTAGTGCTTATTTCAAGGATAAAAATGCATCCCTTCTGAAAGTACTCTTTTAAACTAAGGATCTTTGCATTTGCAGAATTTCTGGGAAGAAACCGGAGCAGGGAAGCCATGGATTTTGGGGCCCACTCACTTCTCTTGCATCTTACATGACCTCCATGGTGAAAGGCCACAGAGAGCTACCCACATGAAAAGGAAGAAGCCTCAGCCCAGCTGATGGGCTGTCTACATGATCCGAGAAAAACGGCCTGTGGAGTCTAGGCCAGAGCTGACTAATTTTTTACTTCAACAAAAAAGTCAGCCCAGAAGAATGCAAAAGCAGAAGAGAAAGGTACAGGCTCCTCTGGATGTAGTGGCAGGGCAGGCTCTGAGACCAGGATACGCACAGCAGAGTGCCAACGGCTGGGAGCCTGCCCTTCCCCAGCTGCATGACAGCAGACACTGCCAGGCAAACCATCAATGCAGGGATCTGTCTGTCTTCCTGCAGGAGTAAGAGGTTCCAAGGGCAGGTGGTACCTCAAGCAAACTGTCTCCCACCAGGGCCACGAGCAGCTGGTGTGACTGACGCTCGCGCACCAAGGCCGCATTCTCTGAGGCGTACATGGAGGTGAAGTCGAACATGGCTACATCAGGCTGCCCATAATGGTTCATGGCGAAGTCTAAAGCTGGTAGCTGGTAATTGGTGGCAAAATCTGCAGCTTCACGGGCGTAGGAAAGCAGGTTTTCCTGGTTCACGTTCTCTGCACACAGCAGCATCTCTGTGTCAATGTAGTCCTGGGGGTGATGAACAAGAACACAGTACAGTGACCTGCCTCTCTAGAAGGCAAGTACTGGTGTTCACTTCTCTGCAAAAGGCCTTGGAATGGGTTTGTACAGTGACGCTAATCAAAACAAGAGATAGAACATGAGGGCCAAGGGAGTAAAGAGGAACCAAATCAGCTATCTGTGGGGGGTTAACAGAGTGATTAAGCATCAGATTTGGCTTTGAGCTTCCTGGCATCCGAGGCAAAAGGGAAATGTGATATATTACCAAGGCTCTCCTTATCAGAAAGGAGGAAGCATAGAAATTCCTTAAGGGAGGCAATTTTTTCCTGGCAGTAAATTTTAAAAGAACTCTCTCACATAGGGATTTCGACAGAGAGCATTGTGTTGTAATGAACAGTGTGCTTAGTCATGGACTTTCAGCAAATATAGAAGCATATTTCATATGGCTAGTTCTTGTGATAACTTGTGGTAAAATTAAAAAGACAAAAGACCAAATGAGTAGGAGTGGTTTTATAACAAACGGACTAAGCAGAGCTGACGTGGTCCAAATATGTTGTGTTTGGTGGTCAAATAAGACCAGAAAAGAAGTGTGTGCTTTGCATAATTGGAATATTCTCTCCAGAATAAGTTACCCCTTTTCTTGACAGACCTGAGGACGGGTATCTTTCTGCTCAGGGCCCTGCTTTGCTCTTAAAGTGATAGTTGTTACACTTTCCTGCTGGGAGTGGAGAGCCCTGAGCTTAGAGAACTAGGACACCCATCCTGGAGGGGCACTGGCAGTGAGCTGTAGGACAGTCTCCCAGAGTCAAATCTGCCCATCACGTGGCTAAAGGAACTAATTGGTTATCTTTCCATTGGAGAGCGAAGGGCAGGGATTCGTACATAAGAGCAACACAGGCTTGGGGTTTTCAAGAACAACAGGTCAAATTCCATGTCTGTCTGTTATTTACTGACTGAATAAATTTGAGCAAGTGATTGATGAGTTTCCATTTTCTTATTTGTAAATTGGTAATGATAAAATCTACTTCCCAGAGTAGTGTGAGGACTGAATGAGACCATATATGTAAAATCTCCAGCCTAATACCTAGAACGTGGGAAGTACTCAATGAATGGGAATTCCTGTCCCCAGTAATTCATTAGGACACAAAACACAGCACATGGTGAGGTGCATCCTGGACCCACCCAAAGCACCAGCAAGAACATTTAGAAACGTTTCAGAAGGCACAGCCCCATCTACAGAGTGACCTACTGTGTCAATTTCCCAGTGGCCATGATTTCAAATACCTTGTTCTAGAAATTCCAATATTTTTACATCCAAGTGACGTCACCCAAATCACACCTAGCTTTGGTCCAAAAGGGCATCCAGGCCTGGAGCTCCTGTTACTTGCTTTCCTTTCTCATACCTGTTCCCACAGTACATGACCATTTCCTTCCCTTGAGGGGGTGGAGGTGAGACAGGAAGAGTGAATGGGGAGGCTATGAAAAGCACGTGATGAGCACCCCTGACATGGGCCTGGTGACAGATGAGCGCGGGCAACAACCCACCTGGCCCAGGGCTGCTGCGAGGAGGTCCCAGGTGAGTAGGCGGATGGCAGAAGCAGAACCATAGGGAAGGGGTGAGAAAAAAGTGAGAACAGGGCTCTAAGTAAAGTGGGCAGGCCTGGGAGGGAGTTCTAAGTTAAGATAAAGGCAGGGAATGAATTTGGGCTCTGTTTCCCACAGGTTTATGGTGTTGAAGAGGGGTGAGGCAGTAGAGAGGAAACAAATGAAGGGTGAAGAATCTGGAAGAAAGAACAGTTACCCCAAGAGCTGAGCTGGAAAGAGGCCATAGATCAAATGAGAGTGTCAGGAAATGCCTGTCTAGTGCCTCAGAGAAGGGGGACCAGCTGTGATGTGCATCCATCTCACACGCCCAGCAACCAAGCTCCCTCCCACTATGGTGAGACCTAGCCTGCTATGTCCAGGAATCCCAGCCTGCAAATGTGTGGGCCATCAGGGTCCTGGGGATGAGCCCCCCTCCTGGTGGAGGAGATCAAGATGGACATAGCTGGGAGCCCAGGGGCCTACTGTCTTCAGGAGAAACTTTGCTCTTCCTTCAGTAGCTACAGAAAGAAGCCCAGGAGTCAGCAGGAATAGATGGGGAAGCAGGTCAGTCAGTCATTCAACAAACATTTACTCAGCACCTTTTGTGTGCCTCTGGGAATATGCCATACAGGGAGAGAAATAGAGAGAGGACTTTCTATTCCTCTGAGAACAAGAGAAGACTATTAATTTAAGTGGCTCAGGGTAGATGGGTCAGCTCCCAGCTTATGCAAATGCTATAAAACTTGGCTGGGTACCTGGAACCTCAGACCACACCTCCTGAACCAAATGAGTGTCCAGTTTTCTCATGCCCAGCCTGTGGCCTCCACATTTCTAGGCAGGAGTTAATGTCTTATTCATAGAGGCCCCTCAGCACTAGCTCAGAAGATGCTCTTAGAGTCTCTCAGGGAGAAGAAGGCCTTGATAAGGACAACCACAGGCCTGGATCTGCTCCCAGCCCTAATACAGTCATGCTGGGACAGAGCCAGGCATTCTTACCCACCTGTGCCATGACAGAGAGCCTAAGGGAGTATGGAGGATCTTGGACAACTGCCAAGCAATCCAGTCACCACGAACACCATGCTGCTGCCTGGACCAATGCTCTGGAATGATCTGACGGAATCTTAGTGTACCAGAGGCCAGAGTACTCAGCCAGTGACACAGGAAACCCAAGTCAAACTGCCTGACTCCCCAGGGTGGGTGGACAAAGGCTCCCTAGACCCTCCTCCGCAAAGGTGCCCACTGCACCCGCACCCCCGGGCCCCAGACAGTCCTTTGCTATCTGACACAGGAGCCAATGTCAGGAGGGACACCTGTGGAGCAGAAGGACGAAGGGAACATGGCCTCACCTCCCCAGACCGGGTCAGCAGTGGGGCACCAGATGTGGAAGCCCACTGCTCACACACCTGCTGGCTGTGCTCAGTTAGCTTCATCCAACCCCTGCCCCCCACCCCCATTCACAGCCTCCTGTCTGGCAACCCAGGCTCTCAGCAAAGACCTGAGCCGATGTGGAGGAGGCCCAGGGGAGGGCTGGGTTACTAATGCTGCCCAGCGGGCTGCCAGCGCAGGCTGGCGAGTGTTAGGCACATTCTTCTCTGACAAGTGGCAATGAATGGTCACCGAGCTGCCCGGGTTACAGGCTGAACCCAGAGAGCAGGCTGACCTTGGACTACACAGTCCTTATCTTGAGGCTATAGCAGCAGTGGTGGCATGAACAGGGGCTCTAGGAGAACTGAAAACCCCACCACAGAAGCTTCCAGCCCAGGACTCACTGCTCTACATGCTTCCCCCTCCAACCCTGCTCTTTGTGTAAGCATGGATATGCAAAGGCAGGAAGCAGGGGCCAGGAAGCCAGCAGGACAAAAAAGCAGGTGTCCAAACCAGGCAAGAAGGTCTGGAGGGAAAATGCAAACCCACTACGCACAGGCACTGTGCCGGGTGCTCTGTATGCATTTTCTAATTTACTCCTCTGACAACCCTTTCAGACAGAAATTATTATTCCTGTTTTGTAGACAAGAAGGCTGAGGTTTAGAAAGGCTAAGCAGCTTAGTCACAGCCCTGAGATAATATGTGGCAAAGCCAAGATTCAACTAGAGTCTTTTTGACTGTGAAAATAGAGCTTTCCCCCCTATCAGGACAAGGGGGCCACAGCATGAAATTCACAAGTGAGAGTGGCTCTGTGCCCCACTAGGCCAAGGCGCTCCCATCTGCCCCCAAATGATGTGTACCTCCTGGCAAAGGGGGCAGAGCTGATTAAGACTTGGGGAAGGAAGAGACTCAGCTGATCTCTTGGGGTAAAGACCTACACTTATGCATGGGGGGAAAAGTCTCAGCCCCCACCCTATCCCTACTGCAGGGCCCTGCAGAACCCTCTGTGTATACTGGTATGGAGGAGTCCTTCATCCAACACTCACCCAACACCCAGGAGAAGGGAAGTGGTGGCCAGTGGTCCGTTCCCTCTTCCCCCCTCGTTCATTCTCTGGCCAGACGACATCTGCTCCCACACACGCCAGTCCAGGTTACAAAGGGAAAGAAGACATCACAACCAAGAGATACATACGTTAATGATGACACCTTTGTCAAGCAGGCTCTGCTTCTTGGCAGTCATGACAAAATAATGAGTGCAGTCTTTGTAGTAAACAATGTTCTCAAGATCAATCCCTGAAAAGAGAAGCATTCATGGATTTAGTATTACTTCATCAGTACCAGATGTATGCCAGGAGCTCTAATTTGTCTCATTACAGATTGCATTATTTACCTGCAGAACACTCATGCTAGACAAGTTTTTGAGGCATACAGGCCTGGAAAAGATAAAACCAAGTGCTAGAATTTGACCAAGTTAACACAGCTAGCTTTTATAGTCTCCCAGAGACACTTTTTTCTAAAAATTGAGATATACTTAACATATAACTTTATGGAAGCCTAAGGTGTACAACATGTCTATTTGATACATTTATATAATACAATATGATTGAGGCACTATTTCTCTTAAAATTCAAAGGTCTTAGGGACTATGAACCAGTATTTCCAAGTTAAAGCTGAATAAGCGCTAAGGAAGGCAAAGTGCTGTCTACGTCACGGTGGCTAAGCAATGAAAGAGCCAGGATTTGAAGCCCAGCCTGAGTCCAAGTCCCATCCACTGTACCCTCTGCGTAGCCAGAGATGCAAAGAGCAGTGTGAATTCTCCAAAGACTATGCTAAGTGATGTTTCTATCATTCCCCCGCTGTGTGTGAAAACCCAGGTGTCCTGAAGGAACAACTCAGGTTAGTGGGCTGGATTGAACCTTTCTCCATTTTCTACCAATTGCACAACACTTTATAGGCGAGGTTTCTGCATTTAAAACAATGGTGTGAGGTGGTAGCTTAGTCCAGTGGTTCTCAAAGTGATTCTCAGGTTCTGCCTTGCCAATAGCATCAGTCACACCTGAGAACTTACTAGAAATACAAATGTCAGGGCCCCACCCTGCATCTATTAGATTTACAAACTCTGGGGGTAGGGCCAGCAATCAGGGCTTTAACAAGTCATGCTCAAGTTTGAGAATCACTGGCTTAGCTTCTTTGAAGAGAAAGGAACAGACACATGGCAGCTTAGTAGTTAACACAGAGGCATGTTGGGCAACTACAGGAACCCCTTTATTACCATTAAATAGGAAACAGCCATCAACGCAGAGGGCCCCCCAGGGAATCAGAGGAAATTCATTGCTGTCTCTATGTGAGGGCACTGTTGTGAAGCAATGGCTAAAGGTGACAGCCACAGTGAAGTTTAAAGAAAGTTCACTGAAACATTTGGAAAAACACACTCAATACCCTATCACAATTTACATTGGGTGTTTTAGTTAGATATTTATTTTCTTGAGTTTTGAAGAGAAAGGAGGGTTGGAGAATTCTTAAATCATTCAAAATGATATAATTTGCTGGACGGAAATTCTTTTTTAAATAAAATAATGCAGGGACCTCAGAGGGTCATGCAATAGGTACTTATCAGCGTGGCCAGCAAGAGGCAGAGTCTGACCCAATAACGAATCTCATTCCTAGGAATCTATCTTAAAGACATCATCCAACAGAAGTAGTTTTACCTGTACCAGTAAATAACTGAAAGTCTAAATCTGAGGTCAGCAAACTTTTCCTGTAAAAGGACAGAGAGTAAACAGTTCAGGCTTTGTGGGCCATCCGGTGGAACAGCCACAGGCAACTACATAAACAAATGGGCATGACTGCGTTCAAGCAACCTACATTTATGGAGACTGAAATCTGAGTTACATATAACCTTCAATCTGTCACAAAACAGTCTCCTTTTGGTTTTTCTTCAACCATTCACAGATATTAAAACCATTCTTAGCTTGAAGGGAATACAGAAATGTGTGGCCACCTATACTTTTGGACAACCCATGGGTTAAATGCTAGGCAGTGATGATATAGCCACTTAATGACTATTCTGCAGCCTGCAAAACCGACTGCCAGGAGAAGTAGGCTGCAATATGGGCAGTATGTAAAATGCAATGCTGCATGAGGAAAGCAGAATATCAAAGACTACTGACACTATGATGAGAGGTAGAGCCATGGAAAACATGAGGATGTGGGTGGAAAATTACTGAAAAGGAGTGCACGAAAATGAGGACTATTCCTGGGCTAGGTGATGCCAGGTGTGATGATTTATTTTTAGTATAAAGATTTTATTTAGCATTGTTGTTACACTGTGTCTTCAAGGAGAAATATATATATAGTTTTAAATCAGGTTAAAAAGAAAGGAAAAAAATCTGGAATTTCCTTAATTGGGAGCAGGCATTTCATCTCTCTTTCCCCTCACCCCGCTGGATTTTTCTGCACCAACCTTACACCCACCTGACTTGCTAGTTGTTTACTAGCAGTCTCCCCCCATAAAATATAAGCTCCAAGAGAGGAGTTTTATTTGTTTTGCTCAATGATCTTCCTCAGGACCTTGAACAACATCTGGCGTATAGTAGGCATTCCATAAATATTTTTTTGTAAACGAATGAATACCTTCCTTGCTCAAGGCCCACAGCTGGGGGACAATGGATGCCCTTCGGTGAGCATCATGCTCCCTAGGCATCCCTGGGTGTCCCTCATGGGGAAGGGCAGCTGCCACGCTGCACAAAAGCCCCTACACTTCTTTAAAGAGTATCCATAGGTTACTAGCTCCCTCTGCAGAGGGTTTCCTAAATCTCATGCTGACCTTGGGCCCAGACCGACAGCCCTGCATTGGGATGGTTTATCCAGGTATCTCTTACTGGACAAGAAGCCATTTCCAGAGGGGACTGTGTCAACCTTAACTGTGTATCCCATGATATTGAGTACTAACACATAATGGGCGCTCAGTCAATGTCTACTGAGTAAATAATTTGTTTTCCATTTTCATGTACAACATCCAGAACTTTCCCTCAAGAATCCCTCTTGAACCTGAAGGAATCTTGCCCATTATTATCCTAAGGAGAAATCCGGGCTTCCACTGTATCAGGGTGAGTCTCCCAGTTCCAAGAATAGGAAAAGCCAGCGTTCTCCTCTCCACACCTTAGGAAGCACAGAGAAAGGTGAAGGGCCCACCTGTTTCTTCTTTAAGGTCCTGAAAAAATTTCTGATTGAAGATGAAAGCCACGCCGCTGATCTCTTCCACCTTGGCCTCAGCTGTGCTGTTTCTGTTTATGAAGTTGGCGGTGATCGCAATGGCCAGCTTCCCACGGAATTCTTTCCTTCTGAACCCTGCATGAAGCAAAGGGGAAAAGTAGGTCTTTCTCATGGATTGGTGTGAAAAAAATTATTTTCAGCTGCCCCACAGGCCAGTGAAATTAGAATTCTGGATCTTGAGGGAACAGGGACAGGTGGAAATGCTGAACTCTGTACCTGAGGAGGAAACACCACCAGAGGCCATTCTAAGTCAATGGGACTTTTTCCTTTTCTAAAATCTATAGGACCAATTATCCTGGTTAGGCTACTGCAGCCAAAGGGTAAAGTGATCTTCCCAAAGGCAATCACTGAACTCGGCCTTTTAAGGATTTCTTAGGCATTGTTGCTGGGTATATTCAGGAAGGCCCCCCCATTCACTTTGATCTTATATGATTAAAACTACTGGGTTAATTTTTTTTTTTTCTATGGAAAAGTAGGGTTATGAGATTGAATTCCTATGGGATGGAGATTTTACTCCAGTCTCAGTGATTAGCACATCATCCAGATTCAACAAATGTATAATGAATAGATGAAATTCAAACTTGCAACTAATTTAGTACAATGATTTCGAGGGATACTCATAGTTTGCAGTAATTTACATTAAAACTGCTTTATTTATCCACAGGATCCCAAGCAGGTGGTCACACCTGGCAAACCTCCTCCTACTCCTGGCCTCCCTTCCTGATCAGCCCCCAAAACAAGAGCCTTCACCTTCCAGTGTGTTCCTGCGGCCATCGGCACCAATGATGACATCGAACTCAAACTCTGATAGAGAGTGGTCTGCAGGGAGAAATTCTGCTCGCCAGCCGACTTCTGCCAGGACAGAAAAATGAGATGAGTTGACAGAGAAAGCTGGAAGGGGAGAGTGATTATACCCAGTCTGTGCTGGCCATGAGAAATGGACAATGCCAGCTCTCTAGGTACAGGCACCCTGGACACAGCCTCCCAAGGAAAGACCCAGATCTGCCCTAAATCACCCTCTGATCTGGAGTCCTTCTGCCTTTCGTATCCATTCAGTCCAGGACACGGTAAACCAGTAGCACCAACTCCATGCCTGGGTTTACTGTTTTCTATAAAGGCTGAGAGTTGATCCTCAATGATTTTCAAATCAGTGTGACTTGCACCTTATTTTTCTCAACATGGTATTCTACCATGTTCTCTTCAAATTGCCCTTTATTCCTCAGTGCCCTTCCACTGCCAAAGGAAGAGCAGAGTATAAAGAAACTAGTTTACAGTATACAGCCTTTAACGAAAACATTTTCAGGTGAAAACTTGCTGGTTACTCATAATTGAGATTTAACATCCACTGAAAGAACATTGAAGTCTCTGAAAGTTAAGTAACAGATGCTATCCTTCTATAAAAGCCGCTAATGCAAATATTCTGGGCAGAGAACAGGAGAAATCAGAGGTGTAACCTGCACATGGAATTATGAAGTCTCCAACAGGTGGCTCCAAACTGAAAGCCCAGCCCTGGCAGTAGGAGATTTGGGTAATAATTAAGATGCAGAAGCATCATGAACAAACTGTCTGATCATGGTATGTAGAAAAGATCAGAATTTACATAAACACACTAAAAGGAAAAAGGGAAACATTGCTAAATAAGACATATCCATAATAGGTCAATTTTATGGTTTGTAAATTATACGTCAATAAAGCTTAAACATATTATTTACCCTATAGTATCTTGAACATTTATTTCATATTTGCTCTCTAAGCATCACTTTCTTCACTGGATTTTAAAATATCATATGGGTACAAACTATAGTATAGGTATCTACATACCTATGTGTGTTCTTTACACACATCTGAAGAGCATAAATGAACTTCATCGAACAACCAAACCTATGTTTTCTAATCCTACTTACTATCGTTTGTTGAAGTGTTGCCTCCTAGTGACAGGTAAACCAAATTACAGGCTTCATGGCTTTAATAATGAATGCTCTGGGAGCTGAGAGCAAATGTTAAGTGACAGCAATGGTCAAAAAAAGGAAATATCCTTGGATGGAATTATTCCAAACAGCTGTCAATAAGAATGACTCTTACATAAAAATGCTCTGAGAGCTGCAAATGTGATTTTCTTTTTGATCTATCTGATTTCTAGACATGAAAGGCAAATTTACTGTACTTTGATTTTCTTGATCTTCAGGAGGCTCTAGAACCTTCACAAACTCCACATTCACATGGATTTCAACTCCCAATATCAGGGCCACCTTGAATAGGATGAGCTGCAACTGACGAATACCTGTTAGAAAGGAATGGGAAATGAGATGAGCTGTCATAGCAGTGCCAGAGTGCCTCCTGTATAGGGAATACTATGTAACCACTGCTCTTTGACCTCTAAGCATAGCAATGTACTAACAAGGATCACTACTGAGCACTAATTATGTGCCAAGCACTCTGTGATTTCTCATTTAACTCTTCCAGCGGACCTGTGGGGTAATTACTTTCATGATATAGATGAGAAATTGAGGTTCAGTGAGCTAAGTGACTTGCTTAAGGTCACACAGTAGCAAAACTAGAATGTGGACCCAAATTTGTCTGATTCCAAGACTGTGCTCTAGCTGTCAGATAATTCTATAAGGATGGAGGCTTTCTCTTTCCTCCCTGCTTCCTGACCTGGGCTGTGGGTTTGATAAGGTAAAGATGGAAAAAGAAGCAGAGAGAGAGAGAGAGTGTAGGACCATAAGTCAAATCAGTGATCACATGGCTCATTTTGTTGGGGGCTAGGACTAAGCACTTAGCCATTCAGGGTGAGGGGTGGAATGGGAAATTATCTCCACAAAGCTGGGTTCATGGTTCTCCATTGTGCTAGATACTCACCTAAACTCCCCCATGAATGTCACCTTATTTCTCTATTTTGTTCCCTGCCATTCAGCACAAATAGATATGCCTCCAAATATTGTTCTGCACAGTGAGAAGTTTGAAATTTTCTATAGGTCCCTCTGTATTTAGTGGGTATTGTTTATTTGACATTTATTGAACATCTACAATATGCCAGATGCTATGTTAGGCATAGGAGATATGGAACTTACCCTTTCATAGAGAAAACACAGAGAAACAGAATGGGGTAAGGCATGGTGCCTGGGGGGCAGCAGAATGGCAAACAGGGTTTGAGCTACAGTCCTGGAAGCCAGAATACTAATTTCCACAGATAGATTAAGGATTATGAAGACTACAAGAGGCCAAGGCACTGGGAGTTAGGAAGCTTCTGGAGACTTTGGTGAAAATCTCTTTCTCAGGGTAGTGGGGAATAAATCAGACTGCAATGGAAGGAGGCATGAATGGAAAAGATAGACAAAGTTACATCTCCTCTAAAGGAATGGGCAATACCAGGGGGTTAGAGGGGCCGAGTGAAGTAAGAAGCAGGAAAACTAATGCTGGGGGAGGTGGAAAGTAGGGAAGGAAGGAGGGGAACAGGAGCAACTGGAGTGGAGAAGAGGTGGCCAGCTCTGCCTCTGCTGGGGTGGCAGGCAGGAATGCCCTCAGGTGGAGGTGAGTGCAGGAAGAGGAAAGGGGCTGGGACAGGCAGTGCCTGCATGGTCGCTCCTCCCCAGAGCACAGGAGGGAGACCATCTGCTCCGAATGAGGAGGCTGTGGTGGAGGTTTAGAATAGCTGCGGTGGGAACTGGAGGAGGATGGTGACACAGGACAAGGAGAGATGCCGAGCAATGCTGAGGACCAGGACACATCTGGGGCTAGAGACCGTGGGTGGTCTGAAAGAAAGCCAATCAGCTGGGGCTTACAGAATCCAGTCCACCTCCTGCCTAGAAATGGGCCTTGGTGAAGGCCAGGTCTCTCCTCATGGTTTCAGGGTCCTAGTCCACTTGGTTCCAGCACATAGTAGATGCTCAATAAATTCTCCCTGGGTCCCTCCTCACAGGTGCTGGAACTGCCCTTGACAAGGAACACTGAATCACAGTGAATGCTGGAATCTCAGTTCCCGAGTCCTGCCGGTGTTTCTGCACACTGGGATATTTCCAAGAAGTGGGGGTTAGAGGGGAGCCCCTCAATGGTGCAAAGAGGGTCTGGCTTGGAGGGCAGCCCAACAGCTGTCAAAAGGACTGGGGCTCTCAAGAGGACTCCTGGTGCCCTGCTCTGGCTCTCAGGAGGGCTCGATGAGAGGGTGGTGCTTAATGTTGTCATTCTAAATTAGTAACCAATATATAATCTTCTGTAGGTGGTAGGGAATATCCTGAAAATTGACACTACGGCTTACAGGGAAAATCCAAATTTTTTCCAGTGGACTCCTGGAATTTTCTCATCCCAGAGTGGGAATAAATTCTGTGGTCACTGCTGGTAAACTCTCCTGTATCTAACTAATTACATCCTATGTGGCTGATAATTCCATTCATTCCTACCTGAACCCCACACCCTTTTTCTCATCAGTTCTTGTCCTCATGAGAACATGGCTTTTAGGGCTCCCATCCTACCCTCTGACTGAGGGCCTGCAGATCTGAAGTCTGAAGTCTGGGGACCTGGTGTGGAGAAACATGGGTGGCTTCTTGCTCACGGAACACCACTGCATGCAAAGCATTTTCTGAGTATCTACTATGTCCCAGGCCTGGTGATAAGCGCATTACAAACTTAACCTCATTTAATCCTAAGCAATTTCTGGCAGGTAGGTATTAATCACATCTACTCGAGACAAAGAAGGAAAGGAATTTGACCCAAGTCACAGAGTAAATGGACAAGCCAGATTTTGGATCCAAATCTATTCAAACCCTTGAACTCTACCCACAGTATTAACCTCCCTGACTTTTCTGGATCACAACTGCTATACAAAAAATGGCTAAAGACCTCCTCCCTACAAAGCATGCAGAGGGAGGCTGCTGTTCTAAAACCTGTCTGCACAGATCCTGTCTCAAGAGACCCAGACTTGAGTAACATCAGAGCAGAAGGGCCTCAGCACTCACCTCGCCCTACTTAAGCATGCAGGGATGGCCCAGCACCTGAAATCCATTTCTCTATTTCCCCTCCTTCTCTGGATGAACCCCATCACACTGCCTTTTCTCTTTTTAAAGCTCAGGGAAACTTGGTACAGGACCTTTCAACTGGGCTATTCCTCTGTTCTAAAGGAATGACCTCTGCCCTGCCACGGTCTCCAGAACTGGCAAAACAATGTCCAAACTCCTTTGCCAAGAGGCCCTTGACGATCTGGCTCATTTAATGGTTTTATGTGGCTCCCTCTTCTTAACTCCTCTAGCAAGTCTGACAACTCTATTAAAGCAGTTTGTTGTTGACAAAAATCTCGGTGAGTTCTCTGAGAATGCAGACTATGTTACTTACCTCTGTCTCTGTGTTCCATATTTCATTCATTCATTCAGTAGAAGCTTATTGAACATCTACTATGTGTTAAGCATTCTTTCATGCCCTAGAGATATTCTGGTGAACAAGATGTGCCAGAGTCCCTGACCTCATGGTGCTTACAGCCTAGTGAGGCACAGCACAAGGTCTGGCACAAGAGACAAAACAGGCCCATCTGACTGATGTGTGGAGCCCTGGGGAACATGCAGATGGAACACCCTGGGGACTCCTTGATGTGACCAGATGTGCTCCACCCAGGGTCAGATCCCTTCCCACATGGGGTGCCACCATTGGTTCCACTCACTGATGTGGTCGATGGAGCCGGCACAGAACTTCCCATAGAACTTCTTGGCTCCCAGGCCCCGCAGGTCATGGATAGTGAAAGGCCAGAGGTGCAGCACATTGTTCCGGGAGAAGGTGTCCCTCTTCTCCACTATGACTACCTTGGCCCCTAGGTAGGCAAGTTCAATGGCAGTGCGCAAACCGCATGGTCCACCCCCAATGATGAGACACTGCAGAGGTGAGAGAGGAGAGAGACACTCAGTGACCTCTAGTGGTGTAGACACAAACCCAAGTCAGCAGTGTAACCAAGGAGCAAACCTTCATCCACCCACATCAACCAGCATGTGCAAACCAAGCCCCTGTTAAGACCTGCCATTCATCCATCCTATGTATATTACTTATGGGCCTACCACACACCAGGCACTGTGCCAAGCCCTTTGAGGGATGCAGAGGTAAATGGATTTCAGGCGAGGCACAATAAGATACATGTGTGGTTCAGAGTCAAACTGAACTGGGCTTAAGCACCAGCTTTAGCATTTGACCTCTTCATTTCCTTATCTGTGAAATAGGTCTACTACTCTTTCCTTGCAGGGTTATTGAAAATAAGATTGCTTTTAAAAAGCTTGTGGTGCATCTTTGTGACCTTGAATTAGTCAATGTTTTCTTAGACATGATACCAGAAGCACAAATAACAAGAAAGAAATTGGACTTCATCAAATTAAGAACTTTTGTGCTTCATAGGCCACTATCAAGAAAGTGGAAAGACAACCCATAGATGGGAGGAAATATCTGCAAATCATATATCTGATAAGGGACTAGTATCCAAAATATATAAAGAATTTTACAACTCAACATTAAAAAGCAACCCTATTGGAATGGGCAGATGATATGAATAGACATTTCTTCAAAGAAGATATACAAATAGACAATAAACACATGAAAAGATGTTCAACTTCACTGGTCATCAAAGAAATGCAATCAAAGCCACAATGAAAGCACTCATACACTAAGATAACCAGAACCAAAAAGAGTAGTGTTGGTGAGTATGTAGAGAAACTGGACCCCTCACACATTGCTGGTGGGAACGTAAAATGGTATATTTGCTTTGGAACATGATGGCAGCTCCTTAAAAGCTTAAACAGAGTTACTGTATGACCCAGTAATTCCACTCCTAGGTATATATTCAAAAGAAATGAAAGCATATGTCCACACAGAAATGTGTATATGAGTACTCATGACAGCATTATTCACAATATCCAAAAATTAGAAACAACCTAAATGTCTGTCAGTAGAATAAACAAAATGTGGCATGTCCATACAATGGAGTATTACCCAACCATTAAAAGGAATGAAGTACTGATACATAGATGAACCTTGATGAGATTATGACAAGCAAAAGAAAGCAGACACAAAAGGGCACCTATTTTATGACTCCATTTATATGAAATATCCAGAATAGGTAAGTCCATAGAGACAGAAAGCAGATGAGATGTTACAAGGGAATGGGGGAGAGGAGATTAGGGAGTGACTGTTAATGGGTCCTGGACTTCTTTTTGCGGGGATAAAATATACTAGAATTAGACAGTGGTGGTTACACAACTTTGTGAATATATTTAAATCACTGAACTGTATACTTTCAAAGTGTGAGTGTTACGGTATGTGAATTCCATTTAAATAAAATACTTGTATGGGAAAAAAGTGTATGGTACCAACTTTGGCACACACTAGTACAGACATTGTTATTCTTATTGCAGAGACCTAGTCTCTTCTAGGTCTCTAGGAACTCTGGAACTCTCCTAGAACCCTTCTTCTACTGGTAAAAGACAACTTGTGAAATAAATAACTAGAACTGTATGTGGTTAGTTCTGTTTGGAGCCAAGAAGAGGAAAAGATAACCCTGCCTGGTAAGCTGGAAAAGACTTCACAGAAAAAGAGAAGGTCTTTTAAAAAAATTATCATCACTACCACCACCACTACCATCATCACCTATATTTGCTGAGCACTCACTTTGTGCCAGGCACTGGTTTAAGTACTTTATGTGTTTTAGTTCGTAAACCTCATGACAAGTCTAAGAGGAAGGAACTAGTAACACTCCACTTTACAGATGGGAAAATCTGAGACACAAAGCAATTGGCCCACAGTGTCACAGATTGAATGGGAGAGGACCAGATGGTCTCACTCTGGAGCCTACCATGCTACACTGCTTCTGGTTTGCCAGGAATAAAAAGAAGAAAGAACATTTCGGCAGAGGGAATCACCCATTCAAAGAGAAGGAGAAAGAAGTTCAAGGTGTTTGGAGAAAAGTGTACTTTGTGGGGAGGGAAGAGAAGGATAGAAAAAAGATGAAGGTTAGTCTGGAGGCACATGCTGACAGTCTTAAATGCCAAGTGAAGGAGAATGTCCTTAGTCCGTAGGCACGGGGGCCTGGTGGGCAGAAGTGGCAAAACAGGATTCTGTACAAGTCCCACACTAGGTCTCAAGGGACACTGTGTTTTCGAATAATACAAGGAAGGGTCTTCCCAAGGGAAGCTGTAGCCTGTTAGAAGAGAAGGAATGACACATAATGACTTAACTAGTTACACTGGGCAAAAGCCCTTCTATTCAACAAAATCTTATGAGGCACACCAACACCATCTAAAAACAATGGGAAAAGTGGCATTCTGGTGGAGAGTGAGAAGCACCCCTGTACGGCCCCCCTGCCCTGCTCTCAGGCAGTCCCTGAAGCACCTCCAAGAGAAAAAAGAGCCCCGGGGGCCCCAAGTAACTGGGGTTACCTCAGTGAGGCAACAGGGAAGGGAACCCACATGCACACCTCACTGCTCCACTGTAGAGGCATCTGGCAACCTCCCTCCCACACAGGATGAAATCTTACCTTTAAAAAATGCATTCCCCTTCCCCTAGCAAATATTCTGTCATCCAGTTATCACTCATGCGGGCCTCCAGGGTCCCAAAGGGGAAGTGCAAATAAGCATATCAGAAGCTCCCACACCATAATCAGTGTGGCTTACTGGATGGAATCTTCCAAAGAGTTTGTGGAAACCCCATTAGGGGAAATGAAGTCACCACTGAGATACAAGTCACTCCAGAGGCGTGGGGAAACTAGTGCACAGATGCTTTTGTTTCCTTTCTCATTGGAGCTGCCTGGAGAAAACCACCATCCCCAAGCCCAGCTCCTCTCTTTATCTCATGCTCCAAACAGCTCCTCCAGCTTGGACATCGCCAGACCATGACAGGCATCTCAAAGCAAGACTCCAAACCCCGGCACTCCGAGGTTGGCTTGGGGTAAAGCCTGGATTCACTGCATTTCTTTGCAGTTAGCGCATCTTTTCCTGTTTGCTGAATTCTGTCACTCCAGGGCCAGGGATGGTGCGGGGGTGGGAGGATGTGGGGAGAGGAAGGGCAGAAGCAAAGGAGGGGAGCCCTCCTGTATCCTTCCATCCAGCAGGCCTGAGCCAGCACCGCTCGCAGGGCAAGGCCGGAGATCCCTTTCCCACCAGCTGGGGGGCTGCTGTGCAAGTATTGCGAAAACAGTAGAGGGTATACTGTTTCTGACCCTCCCAGCTAAACCTGCAATCCTGTCACTGAAAGCTCAGTTTCCCACCACCTTGGGCTCCCGTACATACTTCAGGCCTGAAATTTCAGAGACACCAGTCATACCAAAATTTAAAGTCAAAGCAAATATCAACAGATCTACTTATATAAAGGGAGAAAATTTGGTGCAGATGTTATCAAGACAGGAGAGAAGGCTCATTGGCAGGGGCCAGGCCAGTTCCTCTCGGAACATGCTTGTTATGATTAACATGGGAACTCGGAGTTCTGATGAGAGGCTGAAAACCGTGGCTGCTATGAGCCTGGGCAGAGAGCAGGAGAGAAGAGGGCTTCCCCAGCATGCCCACAATCAACACTCTGGATGTTGTCTGTGGTGCAAACAGAGCAGGGATGCAAAGGGTTGTGATAACTCAATGCAAAGGAACTCTCCACATTTCTCAGATCCATCCAGGCTCTCACTGCTGAGGACTTACTGCTAAGGAAAGAAAACTTTTCATTAAAACTCAGCTCTAAGGCCTTCCTTGAGCCTCCAGTTAGACCATATGCCTCCCACAGGCTCTGTCCTTAGTGCTACCCCAGAACTAAGCTCCACATGCTCTAATTATCTCATCTGATTCCCAGGCCAGTGTGAGAGCTCCTTAAAAGCTGTCCCTGTCCTCTGCTCAGTATAGGGCCTGGCACACTGGAGGCCTCAATAAACAATTGATGGATGAATGAACTTCCCACACCCTCACCGCCCACCCAGTTCTGGCTCTCCCTCCATAACTGGGATGTTAGTTCACATCAGCTGGGGTTTATGTCTGTATTTCCCACCCAGGCTGGGGGAGCTGGGGTCTGCCAAGGCCACCAGCGTCACGTACGTCAGCAGATCTGTGTACTCAAGCGACATAAATTTATTACACAGTAGGGAGCGGGGCAGACCCAACACCAGCAGGAAGTCCATTGTATAGATAAACTTGGCAGTGCTTCGGCCTCCATGTTCATGGACAGAGACAAACACCACAAGAAAAAATCAGTTATTTATCAAGGGGTGGGAAGAGGGGACAAGGGGACTCACAGTCAAGGCACAGGGCTGTACCACCCCGAAGGAGCCCTCAAGCATGACCCTCTTCTTGGTGACTTGGTGCATCTTCCAACCCACAAGTGGGTGGATGTGCTGGGACTGCGTCAAGAATGCAAAAGGGATTCAGGCCCCAGAGAGAGCTGCGAAGAGGACCCGGGGCTAAGCCAGGGGCTGGCAGTCAGGAGACTTGCTTTCCGCTTCCGAATTACGCCTCCAATTGCTTTGGGAGCTCAGTGTGCAGACACTGCAGTGAGGTGGGGTACAGAAAGACAGCCCTTGGAGGCAGCAGGCTGACCTCACTTTCCAGCCAGGGCTCTGCACCCCACTGAAAAGGATGATCATCGTATCTGAACTGTGTGGCACCCAGCATTTTCTACTTGTCAGCCACTGTCCTCATCGTGCTAACTATTTCACCTTTCCTACTGCCGTGTGAAGAAAAGGCCATCAGTAGCAGCAGCTCTACTTTGTAAATGAGGAAACTGAGGCACAGGAAAGTTAAGTAACTTGCTCCAGCTCATGGACAGAGACAAACACCACAAGAAAAAAATCAGTTATTTATCAAGGGGTGGGAAGAGGGGACAAGGGGACTCACAGTCAAGGCACAGGGCTGTGCCACCC